CTCTAAGGGAGGGTTGGTACACATCTGTCCAGAGCTGGAGGGAACCAGTCTTGACCAGAAAGAGAAGCCTAATGTGATGAGCTGTGACAGCTGTGACTCCTGGAGCATGATGGCACCCAGTGCTGTTTAGAGCCACCAGCCTGCGTCTGCCTGTTGAACTTGGCTGACCCCCAGGGAACAAACAAGGGCAGGAGAGGAAACTGGGTGAGGTGCTTCTGTCAGTTGGCTGAGCGGTTCCTGGGGAGGGACTCTGCTCCGAAGCCTCAGTGGACGACGGTTGGGTCAGTCAGCAATCCCCTGGCAGTCAGTGGCTTGAGAGTCAGGGAGACATCAGATGTGTGTGACAACATCCACCGAAGTCACCTGAGAGCAGCAGGAGTGGGGCTGGGAGGGGGACCGAGAGAAGCCATGTGGCCCCTGTGAATTCTGGGGCATGAGAGGACAGACAGGAAGAGATTGGAAAAGGCTCAACCAAGACAAACAGGACAGATGGCAAAGGCCTGAATGCCAGCCAGAGGATGGAGGCTTTGTCTCTCGAAGAGGACCATCAAAGGTTTCGAGGAAGATTGGGGTTGTAAGGAGGCTACACAACCCCAAAGGAGTCGCAAATTTCCAAAGTGTCTATTTGGCTGCGTCTCCAGCAGACTCCTCTTAGTTAGCTGGCCCTAGCCAACTCAAACACACACACACACACACACACACACACACACACACACCACCCCCTTCTCCAAATCGGCTCCCTTCAAATTGTCACTCCCCACAGGGCTGCATTCATGCTCCCCTTCTAAATAGTCCCACTGTTCAGCTTTAACGAGAAGTAATACCAATCCCCATGTTTGCTCAGAGCAGCACCATATTTCATCAAACCAGAGCCCACGCAGGCTCAGATTACTGTCTGAGACAATGTTCTGTAACCCTGGTTTATTCACATGTCACGGGTATTTTAGCAAAACAGAAATGAATGGCCCTCACCACCCTAGGAAGTGCCGGGAGAGCTGGGTCCCTGCCCAGGGGAAGTCATGCCTTCCCTGGCCACAGTTCTCAGAGAGGCCGACTCTGATCCTCTAAGTTTTCCCGACTTTCAGAAAGAGAATATGGGCTGAGGAGGAGTCACAGACTGGGTAGTTATTTCCCCATAAAATGTGAACTCCACGGATGGATTTTGCCAGAGCAAAAAATAAAATCTGTCATTGATTATAAAGTCCTTTGTGCTTGTTATTTCGCAGATTTATTACACTCTGACCTGGCAGCCTGGAGAGGCTCTGAGATTCTTGTCTCTAGCGCCCCACAGCTCATACCCCAAATGGGGACAGGGACTTGCTGGCATTTCTTTTGTCCTTTAAGGGCCAAGAGCTTTGGAAATTTAGATGAAGAGCGGTGAATCACGCCACAGACACACGGATAACAACAGCTCATTCTAGAGGGCTGACACTTGCTAACCAAGGAAACATGCCCTGTCCCTTTTAGCTGTTAGCAGTAAGCGACTCCTCTGCAAAGCCTCTCATCAAATCTTCCAGTGTCTGGGTCCACTCTGAAGGTGCTCTAGCCTCTTTCAGACCCACCACAAAAAGAGCGGCAATAATGTCATCAATGTGGTCTCCTACCATCTCTCGTTAGGACCTTACCAATAAACCTCACAATGTGCTGCTCGTGTTGTCGTAGGTGTCAGAGCTGAGGAGATGGGAGCCCAAAGAAAGTGATTCAGTTGCTTAAGGTTTTACACAACTAGGGAGTAGTGGAAACGGGACAAGAGCCTAGTCCTAAAGGACTTCACAAGGTCATATGGATGCTCCTGCTTCCAAGACTGGGTTGACATGAAGCCACAGACCCGGCATATAGTCCTGGAGGTGGAACAGCCTGTCGATCAGACTTCCAGGATTTAGAGGGGCCGTGGGGCTGCCCCAGAGCAACAGAGCTGGTTAGAATCATTAACTGGCTCAGTCACAGAGCCGTACCATCAAACAAGGACAGGGAGAACTTTTCATTTGACATCTACCTGGGGAGTGATTTTCACCCTATGGTCCTGGCTTCCTGGAGTTATCAGTTTGTCCCCCTGCTAACTGAGGTGTGCGACTTCCAATCACAGGGCTTCCTCACTTCTTTCTCACTGTTGTCTGAGCTGAAGGCACCCCTCCTTCCTCAGGATGTGTGGCACAGAGGATGGAAGGCTGAGGTCCCCTAACCTACCACCCTATCTCTAGAGAGAACACTCCTCATCCCAATCCATAAGGTCAAGAGTCTGAGTTTAACAGAATGGTCCTCCCAAGAGCAGCATAACTGTGTGGGAAGCTGTGGAAGCAGGGGATTGGAAGGCTTAGATCCATAGTCAGCCATCTCCATTCTTATTATTCTGAGCTGCAGCCGGAGCTATTAAAAACAAAACATGTTCATTGGCAAGTTCCACAATTAGCCTCATTTCCACGCTCAAGCCCTGTTCAGCACGAGCTGCCTTTGCACAGATTGCTTCTTGTCTGTGCTGTGCTGGGAGCTAGCAAGGATGTGACCCAGTGGTAATCTGAATTGCTTCACCAAACACATTTTTATCCCATCATCTCGGCCACATGAAAGGGGGCCACAGTGCTCCAGTGTTCAAAACTTTACAATCCCCGCTGTTCAGCAATAAAACGAGGCAAGAAATATTAGCCGTCCTAGCTGATGCCTTAATTCTTTCGAAACAATGTCAGAGAAGCTGTACCCTACAGGTTTTAGTGCCTGCTAAAGCCTGACCCTCGAGCTGGCTTGAATGGAGCCAGAATGAGTTAAGGAGGGCGAGGAGGCTTTAATGGACAAGGATCCGAATAGCCCAGCTTGTGCGGCCTCCTGCAGACTCTCCCTCCTTTTCACAGGCTTCGATTGTGTTTGGCCCCAGCAGAGACAAAACTACCCCTGAGCAGAGGCTACCCCCAGCTGGCACAGGTCAGAGGCATTCTAGGGGAGAAGAGAAAAGGGGGGCAAGGGGAAGTGAGGGGTTCCTGGAGAAAGGAGGGAAGTGAGGTGGGGGAAGGCCATTTATAAGGAAGGACGGTCCAGGCCATTTATTTGGAGAGATTCAGCTATGGAGCTGGGACTCTCACCTCTAGGAAAACCAGTTACAGCACAATTGGGAATTACATACATATGAACAGGAAGTTGAACACAGTGTGTGTTAATTTACAAAATAATATATATTCATATACATGATAAACGCTACCCCTGCGCACTTCCAAAAAATTACAGGCCTGAATCTCAATGCTCTGGGTAGGATGAAAGAGAGTCTGAGATTTTTTAAAACTATAAGTGGGTTGCTTTACATAGTGGCAGAAACTTTTTCCAGGAAATTTTCAATGATTGCATTATGTCCCTCCCAGAAAAGTAACTACTTTGGCTCCCAGAGCCCGAAGTCACCAGATAAGAGGAACTCTGGATTCACAAGTGTGAGAATTTGCCTTGCAGCACAGAGGGTGTCCATGAGCTGGCTTTCTAAGAGGTCGTGGGTTTGAAGGGGGTCCTCTTTTCCCTCTAAAGCAATAGTTCTCAACCTGTAGGTCACAACCCCTTTGGGCAAATGACCCTTTCATAAGGGTCACCTAAGACCACTGGAAAACATAGATATTTATATTACAATCATGGCATAGCAAAATTACAGTTATGAATAACTTTATGATCGGGGGTCACCACAACATGAGGAACTGCATTAAAGGGTCGCAGCATTGGGAAGGTTGAGAACCACTTTAGAGTCTAAAGATGGCTTAATGTTTAGGAACCTGGACTCCTTTTCCAGTCTGCTGAATTCTATGGACCCTGCCCCTAAAGAATGCACAAAATGAAATACCCAAGTTAATAAAGGAAACCAACAGCGCTATAATTATAAAAATATTTAAAGCAACTCAGCAGCTTAATAACATATGAACATGCTATTACATATTGAACATAATGAATATTCCATTTCATTAATTCTTCAATTAGCAGGGGACCAAGCGTTACAGTAATTTCAATGTAGTTTAAGCAAAAAATTTTACTTTGAGAAATTTGGAACACCTTTCCTTCCAAATGAAAGTGACTGAGTAGTGTGGATCTGTGAAAAAGCCCTACTTCTAGCCACTGTGATTGGTTGCTTGTTTGCATAATATCAGAAAAAAAAGGCTAAATCGACCAGATTTTTCCCCATTAGGACCTCGAATTCTATCTCTGGGGAAGTAGCTTTGCTAGAGTGAAGCACCTTTGGGGACCTTCTGCTCCAGGGCTAAGCTGCTTAGCAGGGGTCAGGGTTGCCCTACATCAACACTTTACTGGGAATTCTGTTCTAGAAAACCATTGGGTTTTTTCTCCTCCCTCTCTGATGCTTTGAAACTTTTTATAAAGTAAATTGAAAGCATGCCCTTTTCTTTTTTAGCAATCCTGTCCGAAGATTTATAAGGATCTTTGATGTATTTCTTCAACAACTGAAATTACTGTTGCCAAATAAAAGGTCAGTTAATCAGATAATTCTAATTCTGTATTTTGATCAAGACCTCTCTTTCCACTGCCTTGGTTAGGTCGGTTGATCTTTGGAGTCACACACACCCCTTTTGTTGTTGTTAAATCCCAGAGTTCCTGTTCCCAAGGCTGCACCTTTGCATTTGGAGCACAAACTGGCTCAGAGACAGCTAGGTACACATCCCCTCTGGGGTCCTCATGGGGGAGCTGTCATCTTCCAACCACATAGCCATAGCATGCCATCGCAGGGGCAACCCCGCAGGCGGGCCCCCCTCCAAAGGCCGCCCAGCCCCCGCGACGCCCCGGCTCAGCTGCAGGCAGCGACACTCCGGAGCCGGCTGCGGGGCTGGGTCTCCGGCTCTCGGCGGGGGAGCAGGGAGCGCGCCCGCCCACGCCCACGGCCCCCACACTCGTGAGCGCACACCCCGGCGCGCGCACGCCCGCACACCAGGGCGCACGCACAGCACACCGGGGCCACAGACTGGCTCTCAGCAGCCGCGAGTGGGGACACAGCCGGATTCCCCTCCGAAGGCGCGGTCGGCCACCCCGCCCCGCCCCGCCCCTAGAACTCGCCAGTCCCAGGCGCCGCTCCGTGGGCTGCAAAGTTTGCAGCGTGAGGCAATCAAGGGAGCGCGCCGGCGCGGGCTCGACTGGGCTCCACGCGGCTCCCGACAGCTGTGACTGCTGGCCCGGCGACTGGATGCACCGCGCACAGCGCTGCCGCCCACAGCCAATCCCGCTACCTCCAGTCGGGTCACACGGGCTGTCCGCGTCCCACACGGACCCTCCAGCCACGGACGAGGTGCGCAGCCAACACTGAGCCCTCCCTGTCTTGTCTTTCTGGGCTCAGACCCTTCACCATCATCACTCAGCCATGGCTTCTGGTCCAGCTCGGATCAGTTTGGGGTCCCAACTGCTGCCTATGGTGCCGCTGCTCCTGCTGCTGCGGGGCGCATGCTGCGGCCACAGGGGCCCCTCATGGCCCTCACTGCCCTCGGCAGCCGATGGTCTGCAGAGGGACAAGGACCCCCAGCAGTCCCCTGGGGACGCAGCAGCTGCGCTGGGCCAAGGCGCCCAGGACATGGTCGCTGTCCACATGCTCAGGCTCTATGAGAAGTACAACCGACGGGGCGCTCGGCCAGGAGGAGGCAACACGGTCCGAAGCTTCCGTGCCAGGCTGGGTAAGTAGAGTCTACACCGAGACCCAGTCCTTCTTATTCATGGAGCCCTATATCTGATCTCTCCGCTCCTTTACAGCTCCACTTCTCTCTCCTTTCTTGTATTGACTTTTAATTCATCCTTTCACCGACAATCCACTCAGTTCTCCGTACCAGGCCAGAGCTTGCAGTGGGGACCAAAGTGGCACTGGGTGGCAGACCAATCCTGCCCCTGGGAACTTCCACAGCTGCTGGACAAAGGTCAGCATATGCACAAGGCTTTAGGCACAGAATGGAGATGGACATGGGCTGGAGGACAATCCGTGGCGTTAAGTTGTGTTGGCGCTTGCTGTAGGAGAGGTCAGCATGGTCAGCGGGGCACACGGCAGCACTGGTGGAAGTACCAAGCACTGAGCCCAGGTAGGAAGCATGATTTGGGTGGCAAGGAGACAGAGTGCTCTGAGAGGTTTCAGGAAAGGTCCAGAAGCACCTTGTCCCTCTACTTGAGCTTGTCAGGGTTGAGCTTGGCAGATGCTCTCCCTACCCTCTTCTTAGAGAAGGTCACTCTGAGCCCTTACCCACTAACTTCCGGGTTGAGCAGCCCTTGCCAGCCAGGGGGCTAAGTGCAGAGGAAGTGTAGCCTGGGAAGCAGGTGGTGAGAAGACCCTGGTTGTCATGGTGACTGCTCATGGTTTCAGAATGCTGTTCCAGAAAATGTGGGCAAGGGTCTCCTGCAGTCCTGTCTGAGAGGAGGCCGTTCCCCAGGAGAGAAATCCTTCTGTGGGCAGTCTTCTCTCCCAAGACCGATAGGGACAAACCTCAGCCAACTTTGAGGCAGAACAGGGAAGACTCAGAGCTTTCTACCTGCTGCTCACCCTGGGCAACATTGTGGCTTCGGATTCAGACATAATGTGACTAAGGGAGGGGGTCATTCTCACAAAGAGGCATATCCTCCATCATACTAACCAGGCCAGTGCCCCTAGGTTCTAGGCCAACTCTGGCCTCCCTGGTACCTTTTATTCACTACCTGGAGTTCATTTCTGGAGAAGCATTATTAGATTAAGCCACTTAAGAAGCATTTGGCATGATTGAGTTCAACCACTAAAACTACATGGACCTGTTCGTACTCTGTAAAGCGGGCAGTACATAGCAGTATCTCCCTTTCGGGGTTGAAGAAGCATGAAATGAAGTGATAACATAAGTTCAGAGTCCTGGTTGAATTAGGTAGCGAGCGTTGCATGTTGTAGCTCCGGGAACCAAAAGCACCGTGATGAGTGCTTTGTGTTCATATAGGCTTGAACTTGACCTTTGCTGCCCATTAACTCTGGTCCTTGAAGCCTTGAAGCGGAGAGAGAAAGGTCATCAAGGTAACCACTGCCACAAAAAGTGAGCATGTGCACTGGGCACAAGCACCTGCTGCAGCCCATTAATAAGGGGTCCAGTTCTGTCTATTTTCAACAAATGGAGGTAATACTTCCTGGTACAAACATTGTACCATTGTACCATTGACATTTTAACCCCCACAAATGGCCTGGGGACTAACCTTAAATCCAGCATTCCCATCTTACAGCAAGGATAAAAGGACAGGTCAGGGGAGGAAGTTATTGTACGTGCCATGCAATAACGGCTGTTCTCACTGCCACATATCACCCCCACCTCTCCATCAGAACTAAGCCCAGAGTCTGGGAGCAGAGCGTCAGGGTGGAACAGGCAGACACACTTAAGAATCAGAGTTCTGGCCCAGTCCCGAAGTGTCTGAAAATACTTTTTATTTGGATTCCTGATACAAACTAAAGAGTAAGTTCCAACTTCACCCATTACTGGCTGTGTGCTGTGGCACATGTCACATGTTTTCTTGTGTCTCTATACAGGGGTGGGCATTGAATAGAAGGTAGGTTTGTAGCTGGCATGGAGTCAGGGCTTGGTTTCTTGTGCCTTGCCTTGACTCATCTAAATTGTTTCACACTTAGCCTCAGACGCTCCTACCTCTTGAAGATCTGTCTGTGGGGCGTTTTGAGCAGGGCATAGACCCCTTTCCACAGCCCTGGTCTTGGAGCATACCAATTCCCCCAGGCTCCAAGGAGACAGGTTTCTGCTGCCTCCCAGGCCAGCACATCCTGCCAGACAGCAAATGTACCCACTCCCAAAAACCTGCTACAGCCGCTTCACCCTCATCTGCAGCAAGGCCCAGGTTCTGAGCATGCGCTACCATCCTGATCCCAGTTCTGTGATCCAGCCACGGGACTGCACTCCTCATAACTAAGAGTTTCTTTCCACTTTTAAATTGTGACTCCCCTTCTGATTAATAACGTTTTTAAAGGAGCTCAGATATGGCAAGGACTTAGAACAGTTCTTGGTATGTGCTCATTTGCAATTTATTAGCTCTTAACTGTGACGACATCAGCTTTCCTTGTCCCTGTCCACCTCCCCTGTGAAGTTCACTTTGTTCCCTATTATTCTGCATCTGTGGAGGGAAAGCCTTTGAGGCTGACTCTAAGTTCAGGTTAGACCCCAAGTTCAGTTTAGACCACGGTTCACCTCCATACTCCCAATGAATGATCTGTGTTTAATCCCAAGATCGATCCCTGACAATGTGATACTGAGCTAGTTTTCTTCATCTCCCAAACATACCCAGCAGTCAAAACTGCCAAATCAAGTTCATTTCATTCTCCAGTGCATTGTCCTAATTTTGTTACTGTAGCAAAATACCAGAAGTTGAGCAACTCATGGAGAAAAAACGGTTTATCTAGTTCACATTGAGAGACTGGAGGACTAAATATCATGGTAACGGCTCTGGGGGTGAACTCTGGGGTTATGTCATAGGGTAACAGATGCATCATGGCTGGAGAACTGGTGAGAAGGACTGATCATGAGGCAAGACAGAGAAGCAGAAAGCAGGGAGAACAGGCAGCCTGACAGCCCCTCCCTTGGGAACTAAGTGAAGTCTAATGAGAAGTATCTCCAGGGACTAACGTTTACCCATTAGATGCCACCCCTTAAAGGATGCCGTACCTCTAAACATTGCCACACTGGAGACCAAATGCCCTGCATTTGGAGACAAACCAAATCCAAAACATAGAATAGCATCAGGCATTTCCTAAGCATTTCATTTGGAGGACACATAGATGCATAGAATGTTGGTCTCACCCAAAACAGCTCATGAACTGGCAAGGCAGGTAGGAGGAACCACAGGATAGGGCAGTGGGATGGGTGTGGTAGGGTAAAGACAGGCTGTGGTGCTCGCAGGCTCCCCCAAGGGTAGCACTGACAGGGGATGGGGGAGGGCAGTGAGGACTTCACAGCCAGAGAAGACTCTAGCCTGAGCCCGGCGGTGGTGGCGCACGCCTTTAATCCCAGCACTCGGGAGGCAGAGCCAGGAGAATCTCTGTGAGTTCGAGGCCAGCCTGGGCTACAGAGTGAGTTCCAGAAAAGGCGCAAAGCTACACAGAGAAACCCTGTCTCGAAAAAAACAAAAACAAAAACAAAAAAGACCCTAGCCTGATGATGGCAGATAGGATGCAGAAGTGAGACAGTCCATTGTGTGTTGGAGCTGTTGGGCATTTGGTTAGGAGGAAACCAAGGAGGCAGATAAGCAGAATGCAGCAATCCCAGAGAGCCTTAATTTTGCCTGTTGACAATGGAACAATATACCACATGTACACCTGCAGGGGGTGGGGTGGAGTGAAAGGGAAAGTGTGTCAAAAAAAAAGAAGGGGAGAACGACAGGCTGGTTTTTTTTTTTTTTAAACACAGTAACAAATGTAAGTTATTCTTAATCACACATCCAGATAGGATCAGAGTTAAAATAATATTTTGTAGAATCATTTCAGTCCTGCACAAAAAAATAAAACCACATATGTCTACAGACATATGCACACAGTCATTAACCTGATGGGGCTGCATTTTCTGCATGCAGCTATTCCCATCTGCAGCTGTCCTTGAGGTCTCTGCTGTGCCCCTCAGCCTCTTCACTTCTTCCCCTGGAAATGACCTCCTCCTATGGGTTTTGTTGAGGTTCTTTACGTGGTGGGGATATTAACCCTTCATTTCTCATAGATGATGCTTTTGAAGGATGTGTGTGACGTCGAGGGCTGACATCGAGTTCTAGAATAACTATTACAGTCGAGCCCAGGCGAGAAGGAGGCCACAGTGAGACAGATGCAGCATCTACAAGGCCAACAGTGACTGGGGTTGACTTGAAGCCAGAAGCAGGGAGGACAGAGAATTCTCTACCTCTGTTGGAAGGGTTGGATGGCTTGTAAGGCCTCCTACTCAGAAAGACCCTTGAAATCGATACTCAACTCAGGCCCAGCGCCCTTCTTTGCTGACAAGGGACTGGTCCTCTACTTCCTACCTCCAGCTTGCATAGAGGTTTGCATCTTCAGCATGGTGTGTCTACTCTGTTGTCCCTGATGACTGTTCCAGGGACAACGAGGAAAGGGTGGCTGGACTTCTGTTTGCATTGGACAGAGTCATCTGTGCATATGTGTGAGTTGGTACTCTTAGGCTGAGGCCACCGGGGTACCTGTCTCATTCCCACTGTCACCAGGGTGAACTTGAGTGTTCCACTAAGAGGTTGGGGTCCCGAGAACCCCAAAGATCCATAGAGATTGGTTGTTTAAGTCCAGGCAGTCCTTTTTCCTGGGAAATACAGAAATCAGAATTACCCATATTTATATTTATATTTATATTTATATTTATATTTATATTTATATTTATATTTATGGACTCTTGGGTACATCTCGACAATAGAGTACACTGGAGAGCAAAGGGTGTGTGTTTCAGACGAGATCCACCTGGGGACACACCTCAAACCTGCCTCTCGGCTGCTGTACGACTTTAGGCTAGTTACTTGCTCTCTCTGGCATACCAAGAACTCCCCACTGTTAACTGAAGCAACAGAGCCCACTCTGCCCCACCCCTCCCTGTGTTCTTACAGTGTGGGGCCTGCACCGAGAACCCATCCTTCACATCTGTTTCTGAGCAGCAGCTGTCACCAGGCCTTGTGCTGGCATCTAGAGATACAGCATCAGGTATAGCTGGCAAAGCCTTGCCCTCTAGGAGTATGTGTTCTGGAGGGATGTGCAGTAATAAACAAATACATGTCTACACGTCAGGATGCTATGGGTTCCCTGAAGACAAAGTCAGGGTGGACAGGGCTGAGTGGACCTTCAGCCACAAAGCCGGAAGGGGACACCGTAGGAGCAGAGATCTGGAAGGGGTCTGAGTGATCAGGAGAGCCAAGAAGGCAGAAGAAGTACTATCCCTGACATGTGCCACTCATCAGAAGACCAGAAGAATGGGACCTGGGGGTGGAGAGGACAGATATAGTTTGGGAGGTTGGCAGGAAGCCCAAGTGGGGCCTTAGTAAAGAATGGAGTATTTAGGTAGCAAGGACCTGAACAGGAGTGCTATGCAATTTGAATGCTCCCATAATATGGCAGCTTGTTTAGACTGTTCTGTAAAGCTGTAATGTGACCAGACCCTAAGAATAATTGTGATCACTACCATTCTGTGTTCCCAAGAGGCTTTCAAACACCTTCGACTGCCTTTACCTGGACTCCAAGCAGCCCATCACCTAGCCCGCGCAGACCTTTTGCAAATGTTTATTGGGAAACTGGTGAATAAATGGAGGAGAGAAGGAGGGAGGCTGTCTTCTCATTGGCTGAGACAGGAGCCACAGTGCTTTAGCACAGTATATAGGACAGAGGGACTTCTCTTCCTGCTTGCTCATGGTGCCATATGCCCCACTTAGCTGGAAACATCAGAGGTTCCTCCACTCTCAGCCATAGCCTAGAGCTCCTGCATTGCATGCATGCAGGCATATGCATGCGTGGACCCCCCACTCTGGGGTTAGGGGTGACCCATCTGGACCTCAGCATCTGCCACCAGGCATCATCTTTTTGACCAAGTTGTCCAGTGAGGGGTGAGCTCCCTCCACCCAAATGCATTCAAGCCAAGTGTAGTAGAATCCTTCCTTCTCACTTGGCCTCTGGAGGCCCTTGCCCAGTCTGGACAAATGATTGGGATAATTGATGAGGAAATACCTGGACTAGATTAAAGGTAAAAAAAAACCTGCCAAGTCGGATGTTATAGAGGCCAAGTGGTGAGTGAGCAGGTTTGAGTTTGTATAGGAACCCCTTAGTCTGCCATCCTTGATCCTTTACAGGAAAATGTCAGGGAAGTACCTTTGTGGACACCTCCTCTGCCAAGCATATGGCATGTGCCATTTCTTTAATCCTCCAAGGCTTACACAAGCTGAGGGCTCTAGTCTTCCTATGAGACTAATGAAAGAATAAGGCTTAGAATATGATGTTCTCCTCCAGGGCCCAGAGCTTGTTTTCCAGCTTAGAGGTGTTTGCCGCAGACAGTGAGCATCCCTATACACAGATCAGTGAGTGGGAGGCAGAAGGTGGCCCAGGCTATCCCCTGATGTCTACATACATGTTGTGCAGGAGCCCCAGGCTGTGGCCAAGAGCAAAGACACCTGTAGCTTCCAGCTTCAGAGTTCTGCACATCCACACACCTCCTTTGAGGTGAGTGTTATTCCAACTTTCCCAACAGGCATAACCCCTAAGTTTACCAGTTAGGATGTGGTGCCTCCAGGCCATGACACTCAAAGCCACAGAGTTCTGGGAGGCCAGGTTTAAGTCTTCAAGACCCAGCATCACTTCACATATGGAGCACAGGGAAGGGCTGATGTGCCTGTCTGGTGGTGGTGTATGGGGACCAGGTAAGGAACACCTTCAGCCTCTAGTCAGCCTACTGTAGATGTTTCTCCCTTTTGTTTTTCCTTGTGAGGCCCATTAAGAGATCATGGATATTCCCAGCAGAGTTATGCTTCCTTCCCAATAGAAACAAAATATTAGGCCAGTGGGTGAATTTTTTAAGAATTTTAAAAGTTTTATTTTTTATTACTTTCTGTTTATGTGTGAGTGCATATGTACAATATGCATGCATGGTGTTCAAGTAGACCAGAGGGGGGCATCAAACCCTCTGGAAATGAAGTTACAAACAGTTGTGAGCTATTGTGTAGGTGCTGGGAATCAAATTTGGGTCCTCTACAAGAGCAGCAAGTGCTCTTAACTACTGAGCACCTTTCCAGTCCTAAGTCAATGGTTCTTGAAAACTGATCCCAGCTCATCCTCTGGACACAGGTGTCATAGAGACCGACCAACCTGTCTCACGGAGAGTGTAATGCTGCCCTCAGTATACAGCCCTTCAGCTGGAGAAGAAGGGGGAAGTCCACCCAGCCACTTTGGTCTCCTACTAGTCTACAGTATCCCAAGGTGGCATCCACAAAAAGACCTTTTCTCCTTCTCAATCCTAGACTTCCTCATTGTAGGGAATTTGCATTGTCATCAAGGCTGGGACTGCAGGTGGCCCTGGGGAACCCCCATGTAGAACCAGGAGAGAAGGAAAGGGCTTCCAGCTGCCCCTGGAAAGCAGAAGCAGAAGCTTTCTCCAAACACACACATGTGACTGCTGAATGTGCCTGGCCCTCCTCAGTTGGACCACGCATCTCCAGATGGCAGTATGAACCTTGGAGTGGCATGACCTACTGTAGTCCCCATATTGATATTTCTTTGAAAAACTATTTTTTGTTGTTTTTTTTTCTCAAGACAGGGTCTCATTGTGTAGCCCTGGCTGTCCTGGAACTCACTCTGTAGACCAGATTGGCCTCAAACTCAGAGATCCACTTGCCTCTGCCTAACAAGTGCTGGAATTAAAGGCACGCACCACTATGCCCGGCTATAAAATTACCTTAAAAGGTGCTAAGACTGCAGCAAAAATAATGAAGATCTCTTTATTTCACCTCATCTAGAAGAATGATCACATTTAACAGAAGTTGCCTTTAAAACTGCATAGTATAGAGTGCTGGGCAAATACTGGACCAACTAGCTGCCCTGAGGCAGGTCTTAGATCTGACCCAAACCATCACAAACCCTTAAGGAAGGGGACACTCCTTTGTCCTTTGAAAGCCAGTGGGAGACAAGGAGGAAAGACCAGGAGCTTTGGTGTCTTATAGCCTTGATCATCACCCTCTCTGTCTCATCCTCCCCTCTCTCTCTCTCTGCCTCCCACTCTCCCTCTTCCCCTCCAGTCTCATCCTCATTCCTCTCAATGGAATGGTGACAGTTCCCTACCCCTGGATATCAGCTGTGCAAGTTCATTGAGGGTAACAAAGGAGGCCCTCGCACTTTCAGGACTGCAGGACTTGAGGAAGGGGAAGTGAGCCCTGCTTGGAAGTGCCAGTCCGTGGGAATTGTTCTACTGTCCCAGCTCTAGGCAGAAACCCAAGAACAGGATGCACTTCAAGAGAAAATCTAACAGGTTGCGCTCTGTCATTCCCTTGCAGAAATGGTCGACCAGAAGCCTGTGTATTTCTTCAACTTGACTTCCATGCAAGACTCGGAAATGATCCTCACAGCCACCTTCCACTTCTACTCAGAACCCCCACGGTGGCCCCGGGCACGGGAGGTATCCTGCAAGCCGCGAGCCAAGAATGCATCTTGCCGCCTCCTGACCCCAGGTCCACCCGCACACTTGCACCTAATCTTTCGGAGCCTCTCACAGAACACGGCCACTCAGGGGCTGCTCCGAGGGGCCATGGCCCTGGCCCCTCCACCACGTGGCCTGTGGCAGGCCAAGGACATCTCATCGGTCGTCAAGGCTGCCCGAAGAGACGGAGAACTGCTCCTCTCTGCCCAGCTGGATTCTGGGGAGAAGGACCCCGGGATACCCAGGCCCAGCCCCCACATGCCCTATATCCTTGTCTATGCCAATGATCTGGCCATCTCAGAGCCCAACAGTGTGGCAGTGACGCTGCAGAGATACGACCCCTTTCCAGCTGGAGACCTTGAGCCTCGCGCTGCCCCCAACAACTCAGCGGACCCCCGTGTGCGCCGGGCAGCTCAGGTCTCTGGACCCCTGCAGGACAATGAACTGCCAGGACTGGATGAGAGACCAGCACCTGCCCTGCATGCCCAGCACTACCACAAGCATGAGTTCTGGTCCAGCCCTTTCCGGGCACTGAAACCCCGCACAGGGCGCAAAGATCGCAAGAAGAAGGACCAAGAGACATTCACCACCTCCTCACAGGTGCTGAACTTTGATGAGAAGACAATGCAGAAAGCCAGGAGGAGGCAGTGGGATGAGCCACGGGTCTGCTCCAGGAGGTACCTGAAGGTGGACTTTGCAGACATCGGGTGGAATGAATGGATCATCTCACCGAAGTCCTTCGATGCCTACTACTGTGCCGGGGCCTGCGAGTTCCCCATGCCCAAGGTACGGCCTGTGTGTTCGGATCTTGTCTCATCCTAACTTGGCTCTGCCCAGTTGGCCGTCCCTCTGTTTTCCTGGTCTATTTCATCATTTGCAAAATGGAGATGATACCTCTCCTGTCTGCAGAGGCAGAAATAGACAGAGGTGCCCCACAGCCTGTTAGGGTGGTGCTTTTTTTAAACGTTGGCTTTGATTTTTTTTTTCTTTTTTCTGAGACAGTCTCTCTGCATGTATCTCAGGCTGGCTTCAGTCCTCCTGTTTAGCGTCCCAGCTTCTAGGACTGGAGAGACGTGCCACTATACCTTGCTTTGAATTGGAATTTTAAAAAGCAAGGCATTGCTTCCCAAATGCGGGAAAAGGGCATTCCCACAGAGCAGATGTCTTCAGAGACTGAGTCTGTGCTGCCTCCCTGTGGACTAGGCAGGTATCCAACGTTCCCGCCTGACCTAGGCTTTCCTATCGGTTCTAGTCTGAACTCCTGTCGTTTTGGTGTCAACAGCTCTCCCAGGGGAGCTCCCCCTGTTTGGTGCATCCCACAGCCCAGTCAGCCTGCACAGTGCACAGCAGTCTGAAAGATACACAGTCCCGGACTATTTTATCTTCCTGACCCTGAGTTTTCCCTTTCCCCCAGACTGGGGTAACTCCAGCCATCATCCTGCGGCCTGTGCTGCAGTGGGCTGCTCCTGTCACCCCTCAGCACCTACAGCAGTTCCCCCTGCTTGGTTAGCTCTGCAGACTCTGCCGTGGTATATCTTCCAAGAAAGGAAGTCGGTGTATAAATCCAATTTGAACCTCAATAAACAGAGCGAGTGGGAAATCCCAGGCCCAGATGTGGGCCATATAATCTGTCTGGAATTAAGGGGTTTTTCCTCAAATCCATTCATGTACAAGAGAGAGGAAGGGAGGCAGCTGGTAGGGAGAGGCGACTGCTGAAAGGCTTCACACGGGCCCAGGACTCACAGCTGCTAACTTTATCAGGCTGGCCTGCCGCTCCCCACTTTCAGAATGCTGGCTGAACCCCACACGTTCAGGTGCTCTTGCCTTTCTCTTGCTGCCCTCCCCACCCCCACCCCCACCCCACAACAGCATAAGGCTTCTTGTCTGCTACAGCTCTGATCAGCCAGCCAAGAACACGACCTGGCTGTCCGTGTTCATCTTTTCAGAAGTGGCCACAGCTTCCAAGCCAGGCTCCTTTCTAACTGAGGCAACTTGATTGTGTTGCTTAGCCATTTTAAGCCTTGTTATCTGTGTCTGTAAAATGAAGGTCATATTGTCCATATAAATTAATGAGATGTCAGGATGAGACGACGCCCTGATGCTGCACCTGTCACCTCAAGTCAAGCGCATATTGAAATGCCTGTCTGCAGCCCGTGCCACACTAAGCCTATCATTTTAATTTTAGCCAGGGTTGCTCTGGAGGCATGTCTGATGGGTGAAGCACGGTTCTAGGCGGGCTTGCAAAAGCTTCCTTCCAGCTCAGCTCCAGATGCTCCTAGGAAGGTGACGTGCAGGCGCCCCCAAGTGGCCAGTTTCAAGTAGCAGCTGTGACATCCCTTTTATAGGAGAATAAGTGAGCACCTAGGTACCAGGACTGAGCCTGTAGCTGATTTTAAAGGAAACATGTGTCCAGCTCTGGGCTTTTTCTTCGTATGGCCTTATTTGAGAAACAGCAGTAAACCCTTTGCTCTGAGCTGTCTTTTCTCCTCTTGCAGATTGTACGTCCATCCAATCACGCCACCATCCAGAGCATCGTCAGAGCTGTGGGCATCGTCCCTGGCATCCCAGAGCCCTGTTGTGTTCCAGACAAGATGAACTCCCTTGGAGTCCTTTTCCTGGATGAGAACCGGAATGTGGTTCTGAAGGTGTACCCCAACATGTCTGTAGAGACCTGTGCCTGTCGGTAAGACGGAAGGTGGAAGACAGTCCGGCTTCATCCCTGCCCTGCAGAGTGGCATTCTTGGAGCCAGGACTTGACTCTGGGCAGTTCCAGGTGCTAGACAGAGCTTATAGGCAACCCTGCTGGGACCTAGAAAGATCTGAACACAGTGCCATCGTTCTTCAGTTTTTCCTTGCTAGGGGTGGCTCTGTGAAGACTTTTTGAGTTCCTGGAAGGAATCTGGAATTAACTATGGTCTGAAGTTTGCCCATCAGCCCTACCCACATTTTTCAAGGTCTGTGTCCACAATTTCGACTCCATGCATTCATCATCTCAAAACCTGGAAAGACTATGCAAATCTTGGGGTACTTACCCCTCTAGCAGTTAAAGCGCTCATCTGAAAACCCTCAGGCAACATACTAGAAACGGGGCCTAAATCTTGGCATGGATGGGTGTTTCTCTTACACTTCACTACTCATGCTTTTATACATGCAGTATGCACATGAAATCAAGATTGGTCTCTTCCTTTAGTATATGTATTCTCTATTTTAAAACGAAGGAGAGAGTTGACCCCATTCCCCACAGAGGTAATAGTGCAGGTTAGGTGTGGGCTGTTTGAACATGCATATGGAAATAACACATACAGTAATATGTTGGAATACTAAAAAATAACCAAGATTTTATATTTTTGTAAGTTATACTTTGTATACTGTAGATTGTGAGTGTTTTGTGTTTTTATGGAAAGCTAATAAATTAAAGGTACAGTGATGTCTGGAAAAACTGAATGTCACCCAGTCAAAAATATCAATTGTTCCCTTATTCAGTCTGTAAATTCCTACCCTGGGTTACATCAATGGGAAGTGGTTCCAGGATGGTAGTTACCTTCCTAGAGTTTCCTCATATCCCTAGCCTCATTGATCGGCAGGTGTCTGTGGCAGCTTTTGTCTTGAGTGACAAGAACAGATCTTTTAGTCAGGATAATAAAAACAGATTTGACCTAAGCAGTTAGGGATGATCTCAGGAGGTCCACAGTTCAGGAGGGACTGGAAGGGCCAAATGGTCTCCTTTGCATGTTTTCAAAATACAAGGCTGTCTCCCCACAGCCCTTTCACAAACAGTCACCCCAAGTGCCTCACTATAAATAGCGTCAGCATGATCTTTGCCTTCCTTGCAGTGGTTATTTCTGAAGCCCAGGGCTGGGTGTTTTTTTTTTAAAAGAGAGTACAGGTCCAATCTGAGGCAGATGCACCACAATCCCATCAGCCAGGTCCTGGGGAGATAACATTGACGAAAGCCTCACCACATGGTCTGTGAACTGCCAAAGCTAAGAGGGGAGTGAGCTGAGGAGCAGTGGAGGCATGTGTGCTGAGTTTAGTACTCGGTAAGGGAATGTTCTGGGAAAGACAGGTAAGACAAATACAGGAAAGACGAGGAACTGTGCACACCACCCCCACCCAACCACCACATCACCATCTCCCAGCTCTGGAGAAGAGGAGCTGGATGTGCAGCAACTTCGGCTTCCAGGCTACCCCTGAGTGAAATGCCAACTCCCAATTCCGTGACCTTCTGCTTAGGTGGCCCCGGTGCCTTGGGAAGACTGGCCAATCTCTGAAGGAGGCTGCAACGACAGCACTGTGGTCTGGGTGAGCTGCAAGAGCATCCAGAATGGGTGAGTAAGAGAGAGATATGGGCATTTGAAGGAATCTGTCAGCATCCTCACACCTATCCTCAGAGGTGCTCCAGGCACCCTAGGATGTGTGCTTACAGAGCTCCCCATGCTGGTTAGTCAAGAGAGACAGGGCCATGCCCACCAACACAGGCTATCTCAGTCCTCTCAGCTGTTGTAGATGGTGTGGATGTCTCCAACTGACCTGCAGACTTAGTGCTTTGCTTGCCATGGGAAATGCTTTTGAAACATGGTAGATTATAATTATATGAATAGCAACATAAAATGCTAGGCCTTGAAATGACTCCACCCTTTCTTCCAAATATCAGATCCTGCTGTTACCTTCGCCACTCCACTTTCCCACTGAACTGTTTGCTCTCTTTCCACACCTGTGGTGGCTTCATTTAGTTCCTTCTGGCACCTGTAATTCCTGGGCGACCACTGAGATTCTCGAAGACCTGCAACCCCTCTGAGTCTTCGTCTCTAGATTTCTGGGATGAGTCAGAGCAACCTGAGAGGCTCTGACTGGGGTCCAGCCATTGGCAGGGGGCAGGCCCAGTGCAGAGTGCATAGCTTTTGGGGGGTCCTGTGTGTTCTAGGCGTGTCAAAGTGACTTTGAGGTGTGGTAAACTGGACATGTGAATGATGATATCCCCACTGCAATAGAAGGAGCGTGTTGACCCCTCTACCTTACACAGCAGCCTTTATTGCATGTGTGGCATCTGTTTTGACACCAACTGCCTTCCAACTTAACAAACAATGAATGTCTCAGAAAAAAAAAGGCCATATAAAATATAATGTGTTCACTCGCATCTTATGAAGGCCACAGGCAACTTCAGGTCTGGTGCTGAGAGTTTCTTGAGTCAAGGACAACACGGCCAGCACTACCCATGAATTTCCCAGCCGGTGGCCCCGTCTATGAGTGAAGAAGGGTTGTCTCAGTGACTGTGAACACAGTCACTGCAAAGCAAGGTCAGAGAAGAGTATATGTACAAAATTACGTCTTTCTCCTTAAAACCAAAACATAACATTTCACTGTCTCAAGAACCAAAAGGTTCTAGAACACTGCTTAGATATGCATGGGTCCCTGAGGCCCCTCGGTTGAGCCTGTGTTGGTCTGGAGAGAGAAGTTTTGGTAGCTTTCAGTGGGCTATGTCCTTGAGCTTGTACACCCTCTAAAAGGAAGGCTACAGCATCTTAGAGGGTAGTTCATCAGACCGAAATCCAGGCTTTGTTTGAGAAGATTTGACTCTGTTTTTATAAGAGTGTGGGAGCAGAATCATGGTGAAACCAGGTGGCCGGTCTGAGGCATTCCAATAAGTGTCTCTGCATGCATCTGTCCTTCATAAAATACCATGAGAGCCACCAGATGTCCATATCTGATGCTGCTTCTGGAGCTAGACTGGAGATGGAGCTGATATGATGGAGAAGCCTACAGATGTCTGGGGTGTGGGTGGGAAGGCATGAGAACAGGTCTTCAGAAGAGGTAGGGCAACTCTGGGGTCAGAGAAGGAAGAGCTGGCCTTGGCTGGAGGAGGGCATTGCAGGTGCTACCTGCATTTGAGCGTTTGACAACGGTGCATCAAGAAGGGTAAGAGGTGGCCTGGCTGGGAGACCAGGAGGAAAGCTATATCTGTGGATTCCAAATTCTTTGACTCAATCACCCTGGAATTGGAAACAATTGAAAAAAATCATTCCTCTGTACTGTGTACATGGGAATTTTTCTCTAAATTGCACACTATAACAACTTGGTATAATTTTATTTTATTTTAAAAGATGTTTTGACTTTCAGTGGGCACATAGAAATTGCACACATCTCCAAGGTACCACATAGCATTTTAATTTATATACACACTATAATGGTTAGATCAGAGGAATTGCCTTATCTATCAACAGGAACATGCATTATTTCATTTCTGCATTTCTTTGTTGTTTTACACTTTTTTAAGATTTGTTTTTATTTATGTGTGCATTCGTGTGTGTGTGTGTGTGTGTGTGTGTGTGTGTGTGTGTGTCTGTGTGTCTATGTGTGTGTGTGTGGTGGTGTGGTGTGTGCACCATGTAAGTGCAGGTGCCCACAGAGGCTAGAAGAGAGTATCAGATGCCCTGGAGCTGGAGTTATAGGCAACTGTGAGCTGTCTGACATGGGTGATGGGAATTGAATTCAGTTCCTCTGAAGGAGCAACAAGTGCTTTTATCTGCTGAGCCATCTCTCCAGGCCATTTCATGACAGAAATTGAAGCATCCTCAGATTTTGGTATATGTAGGGGAACCCTGGGACTCATCCCTGACTAATTCTGAGGGACAACTGCTTCTTCGTGTTTCATTTTGTAAAAGACTCATAGACTCATACAATTCTCCTATCAAAACCTCTGTACTTGGAGCAAATGCTTAGCAACACATACATGCACACACACATGCACACACACATGCACACACACAAACACACACACACACACACACACACACACACACACACACACACACACACACGAACACGGGGAGGGGGCAATAGCACACGACCCTCACCAAATAAAGCCATATCTAGTGTTCAATTTGAACATGCATCAGAACTTCCTGCTAGGATCGCACAACTTTCTGACCTATTCTGAGCCTTTGCGTTTCTAGCCACCTCCTAGGTGTTGGTATGGCTGTGGGTCACACTTTCAGAACTACAGTTCTAAAGAGTGAGCTGACGGGGCACTGTCACAGGTCGAGAACATTCGATGAATCGGTGCTTGTCACGGGCCAACTGGAAACAGATTCTCAGAGAAGCTCTGCCAAGATTTGGGAAGCAATCCCCCCCAGTTCTGCCTACCTCCAGCTACTCCCTGCAGCTTCCATGGGGATGTATTTTCATTCCTCTGGACAATTGCACGGAGTGTGTCTCCGAAGAAGTGCAGAAACCCAGGCTGGTGGCGCACATCTTTAATCCCAGCACTCAGGAGGCAGAGACAGGCAGATAGATCTATGTGAGGCCAGCCTGGCTTACAAAGCAAGTTCCAGGACAGCTAGGGCTGTTACACAGGAAACCCTGTCTCAAAAAACAAAAAACAGAAACAGCTGCAGGGAAGACAGCTGCGTCCTTAGAGTGGTGTGTTCTGGGACAGAAGGGGTTCCTGATATCCTAGGGCAATCGTGCTATGGAACGCTTTCTCCCCTCCATGAATGACAGCTGAAATCAAAGTTCCACCTTGGGTGAACAGGCTTCAGTGGCACTTGAAATAAATGGATGAACCAAATATGCCTCTTGTGTTCACTCAGCTGTGTGTCTCCCTCAACACAGAAATGTCGTGAGATGACTTGGTGTCAGCCTGAAGCTTTCTGAATCCCCAAAGCATTCCAGGCCACCAGAGTTTGGCAGGGACTCGCAGATCTGTACATGTCTGAGACTGTTAACTCTCAGTGGGTGTGACTGAACCGTGAGGCTGTAGATGACTTTTGATCTCCTTTATGTTTGGCCTTGCCCCGGTTTTCTATACCATATGCTCTTGTCATTGGTGGGGTGAAATTCTGTCAACTATTAAAAAGAGTATTGGGTAGCAGCCCTTTGCTCTGCCCAGAGTTCATACTGTCCACCTGGAGGCCCTTGTGCCCAGCCCCTGAGTGTGGAAGGGACCTGTGGACCCCAGAGGCTACAGCACATTGTGAGACTGTCCAGATTGTTCTCCAGCTCCTCCTGGCCCTAACATTGCAGCTTCAGCTCCATCTCCTGGACTTGGCATTTGCTCCATCCATCTCCTCCCAGCCTTTGTACTTCTTACATGTTCCATTCATCTCCTCCCAGCCTTTATACTTCTTACACGGAATCGGTGCCCAGCACACTTCCTTTTCTACCCCCAAGCAGTGTCTCCTTCCTTCTCCCCTGATTGTGTCCCTAAAGGGTGGATACACGTTCTGTCTGGCAGTTCACCCTCCTTCTCTGAGATCTCTGACCACAGCCTTCCATGGCTCATCCTGCAACCTTCTTAACGTTCTTGGCCCTCTGTACCCTGTCCCCAGGAGCCCCAACAGCACAGAGCATCATAGCCCTTCTTCCCTGGAGTAGGCCGCCACACATTCCAGTTATTTGTAACTGTGCTCTTTCTTTGCTGTGATTAATGCCACTTGAGGTGGAAATAGATGGAAGCTAAGAATGGGGACACCACTCTTAACATAAACACTGTCCTTGGGCTGCCACAAGCAGTCTTCATAGGCTAGAAACCATCTCTGGACATGGGATCAGTCTCAGAACTGCCCAAATGCTCCTGTGTACCCCAACTGCTGTGTGGGTCTCCTGGCTGATAGGTATATCCCAGGTGGCCTCCCCACTGACATGAACCAAGTCGCCCTCTGAATACATATGCACACACACACACACACACACACACACACACACACACACACACGCCCCTACACATGTGCACTTGCACACACCGGCACCACACAGACGGGACTGGAGCTCAGGGTTTCTGGATGTATATGTGTGTGGTACTAAGGAGCAGCTGGCCTAGACACAGAGCTTCCTCCCGCAGACTCAGCTCAGTCAGACCCAGCACTGGAGGGCTGCTTGAACACAACTACCCACCACTGCCAGCTCCAGTGGCTGCCTACATGTACGCGAACACACCTTCTAAGTCTTACTTCTATGCTCCTGAAAGGGAGGCTCAAAGAGCTGAGGCCACAAGTTGGGGGAATAAGCAATAGAGCTGGGACTGGAGCCCTCATCTGTTGGCTGAGACGTCACGGGTACACTGAGTGTGCTGGGCCCATGCGTGCTCCATTCTTGATACCCAGGAGCCCTTTCCTCAAAGGGCAGTGCCTAGTTACACTGCCTGGTTCTGAGAGCACAAGGCCCAGCCTTCTCTCTGATGCAGTCCTCACCACACCCCATCTTCTCGGCCCCCACAGTTTGTACCATCTTCTGGGTACTCGGTGAGCTTTCTATATTTGGGGAACTTCCTGGCCTCATTTCCTGGATTCTTTATTCCTGTGGTCCAGGGGCTGGAGGTCTGTGTCCCCCTGCCTGGAGAGTCTTCTAACCAAGCCAGCAAGGAAATGGACAAAGATCCTAATTAGGGTGGATGACCCCCCGGAGAAATGCCGATCCTTTACAGTAGTCCGAGTCCTTCCCACCAGCCCTGTGCTTGTCAGATGTTTATACAGTCTTCATTAAAGAGAGCTGCCTTAGATAAGAGGTCCGAGCATAGCATCCACACCCAGATAAGAAGCGGGGAGGCCTTCGGATTGTTGGGGAGAACCTGAGCCAGCCACGCTCCCTGCCGAGCAGTCAGCAAGACAATGTGGGCCCGCTCCTCCTGGGCTCCGCGCTGTGCTTGGTGACACACCACAACAGCCCTGAGGCCCCCCTTCAGGGCCCAAGATGTCCCCTGGGGCCTTCTGGGTGGCCCTGCTCCTGCTGTTCCTGCTGGTCTGTCCCACACACCAGAAGCCACTGCAGAGTTGGGTCCAGGCATCCCCGGGGGGAAACGTCCGCAGCTCACTGGCATTGTCTGGAGGTGGAGAGGAGGGTGTCTTTGACTTGAAGATGTTCCTGGAGAACATGAAGGTGGATTTCCTGCGCAGCCTTAACCTGAGCGGCATTCCCTCCCAGGACAAAACCAGAGTGGAGCCACCCCAGTACATGATTGACCTGTATAACAGGTACACCACGGACAAGTCATCCACTCCGGCCTCCAATATCGTCCGGAGCTTCAGCGTTGAAGGTAGAGTGCTCCCCGAGGGTTCCCTGGGGTGGGACATACAGCACCCTACCCCCACAGTGAAATGGCTCTGTGAGGTGGGTTGGCCACAAGCAGATCTTCAGGTTTATATTGAAGTGAATCACAGTCAAACAGGGTGAAAATGCAAATACCAGTTCAACTTCTGTATGTGCCTAATGGCTTCCCTATGGGGCAGCGCAAATCATGGGGCCTGTCCATCAACACGGAAGGATCTGATGGACAGCCTGGCTCCTCCCCTGGGGCACAGCCTCATTTAACCCAGCAGGTATCAAGGGTCCCAGGCTTCTGTGTCCTCTGTCCCTTCCTTTCCTTTTCTCCCCCCATTTCCTTTGCCCTCGGTCTCCTTTGCTTTCCTTCCTGCTAACCCTACCCCCCACTTCCCTCACGTCTCTCCTCCCCCCCTCCTCCCTTTCCTTTTGACTTCTCTTCTGCTCTCCCTTCCATGCTCCCTTCCTGTCCCCTTTGGACTTAGACATGGATCATTCATTTAGCTCCAGTAAACCTGTATATTTTTTAGCTTTGAAGGAAAGCCAATTTCTCTCTTATAAAGTGACTTTAAACCTAGATTTTAAAATGTTAATTAGAAGAGATGCCAGTTATTTTTTTGGATGTAGTCATCCTCAGCACAGAAGGCACGTGTCTGTCCAATATATTTTAAATATAAGTGTCCTTGATTTAGGAAGACTGGAAGATAAACATGGAGGTGAGGTCTGTAACTGGTAAATCACAGAATTCCAGAATCTGGGTAGAACGGGTTACTGGACAGAGAGCTGGGGTTGCCAGGGCTGGGGAACCCAGGCCAGGCACGCTTGCAAGGTCATGTCACTGGCCCTGTTTCCTGCACAGAGCCTGTTCCCCTTATCCTGTTGTGGCGTCTCACTCTGAAGGACCAGGAGCCCAGGGCCTCCCTGCTTCTGGTCCAGAGATTTGCCCAAGGGTCCCACTTCAGGGCCACAGCCAGCCCTGGCCAGATCTGGCCAGCCTGCAGAGCATGTACCTGTCTAAGGACAGTTGTGATCATCATGCATGCTCAGTGCTGCTAAGTTTTCTGACTGCCCAACAGAAGTGTCAAGGAAACTTACCTTACTTTTTAAAAAATATGGATTCATTTTTTAAAAATTATATAATATAGTTTGTAGGCCACCAGGCCTGGGATTGTCTATGATCTCTGCCTTAGGGAAAGGCTGAGATTTTTTTGGCAGGGGGAGGTTGTTGTTTTGTTTTGTTTTTATTGGGGCCTAAAATATCATATTCCATGGGCTGGAATGTGAAGCCTAGAGACACCGGCCCACCTACACATATATCTTTGGCACATTTATTACATGCACTAGCAGCAGCAACAGCAGCAACATCAATATACATACATACAAACACACATACATGACCTAGGAAACATCCATCTAATCCCAGTAGGCATGCGATTTCTCATGTCTGACAGTGGTCCATGGCCACTGTGGAGGTGCCCCACAGTAAAATCACCTCAGGCCATGAGTGCAATGCACAGTTCTCACTGCTCTGATTTATCATGGCATTCACCGTGTTACTCAGGAGCTGGAACGGCACATCCATGCTGAGTGAGGCGACCACAGAGAGCCTGAGTGAAGGGCCACATGTTTTGTCGCAGCATTGGGCCTGCACAGGTTGGGAGGGGGACAGAGGTATTAACTGAACATCATGACTGGCCTGCAAGTCCCATGTGCTACCTCGATAAAGGCAGGTAAGATGGGTCCCACTCTACAAGAGGGGAAACTGAGGCACCAAGAAGCTTAGACTTCCCAAGGACACAAGCTCAGTGAGGGACAGAGTCATGACTGAGGCTTCCATTCTTTAGACCACTTGCTAGGTTTCAGCAGAGCATGGGTCTCTGCTCATGGTGATGCATACAGGAGTCCCCCTAATCTGAGAGAACCCAGGCCTCTTTCTGAGTGGAACACTGTGCAGGGCTTAGAAATATATGTACTCGTACTTCCAAGCATCCGCTGGGCCTATCAGAACGTGTCTCCCAAGGACAAGGCAGTGGTGGCATGTGGGTGGAGACTCACAAGTGGCAGTGTCTGTGGTCAAGCCGCAGCCCAGAGGTGGGAAACTGAGACATTTAAGAGGCTAAGAGAAAATCCCCATTTTTGCCCAGCATAACAAAACTGTTGGGGCGGAAATACTTTTTCCTCTAAAAAATCCATTTTCACTTTTGATGGAAGTTATTAACACAATTCCAAACACTCTAATGCTGCAATTTTTTATTTTATCTAAATGTGGACTTTCATTGCCCCCAGCCAGGACTGTGGAATCTTCACTCTAAAGCTGACAATGTTTTCTGGCCTGCCTTAGATGAGGGTGCCGATTACCTGTGTGTACTCTAACAGTAAAAAGTTACAGATACCGTTTCCACATGTATGAAGTTGGGATAATAACTAGATTCTCCCAAACTCATAGTGTAATGCCAAGCACACAGTAGGTGCTCAATAAATAGTAGACACTATTAGCCCTAGCTGAAGGTACCTACCTCTGTTTTTCCTGGGAAAAACTCACCAAACTGAGTCCCATCTCCATCCTCTACAGGGATGATATGGGGGTACCAACCCTCAAGTACCACTACGAGGGAATGAGTGTGGCAGAGTGTGGGTGTAGGTAGTCCCTGCAGCCACCCGGGGTGGGGATGAAGCACAGGGAAGAGGTCCTGATAGGATCCTGCACCCTCTGGGCGTGATGGGGGCTAAGAGAACCTTCTCAAATGCTCTTGACACAGAGTAGAGACAATAGTGGCCAAATCTATGTCCTAGATGTCCCTCACAGTAAACCACGAAGTTTGACTTTGGTATCATAAAAATGGGCGCCAGGCAGATGCTCCTCTGCGTGTGTTTGCCTTTCAGATGCTATATCAACAGCTGCCACAGACGACTTCCCTTTCCAGAAACACATCCTGCTCTTCAACATCTCCATCCCTAGGCACGAGCAGATCACCAGGGCTGAGCTCCGCCTCTATGTCTCCTGTCAAAATCATGTGGACTCCACTCATGGGCTGGAAGGAAACATGGCTGTTTACGATGTCTTGGATGGAGAGGACACTTGGAATGGTGCCTCGGGGACCAGGACCTTCCTGGTATCTCAGGACATTCAGGTTGAAGGCTGGGAGACCTTGGAAGTGTCGAGTGCTGTGAAGCGGTGGGTCAGGGCAGACGCCACCACGAACAAGAATAAGCTAGAAGTAACAGTGGCGAGCCATAGGAAGGGCTGTGATACACTGGACATCAGTGTCCCACCAGGCTCCAAAAACCTGCCCTTCTTTGTCGTCTTCTCCAATGACCACAGCAATGGGACCAAGGAGACCAGACTGGAGCTGAAGGAGATGATCGGCCATGAGCAGGAGACGGTGCTTGTGAAGCCACCCAAAACTGGTTACCAGGAGGCAGGTGAGGGCCACGAGGAGGAGGAGGAGGACGAGGAAGTAGATGGGCACACAGCTGTGGGACCATTTTTAGCTAGGAGGAAGAGGAGCACCGGGGCCAGCAGCCACTGCCAGAGGACGTCCCTCAGGGTGAACTTCGAGGACATTGGCTGGGACAGCTGGATCATTGCGCCCAAGGAATATGATGCCTATGAGTGTAAAGGAGGCTGTTTCTTCCCACTGGCTGATGATGTGACACCCACAAAACACGCCATTGTGCAGACCCTGGTGCATCTCAAGTTCCCCACGAAGGTGGGCAAAGCCTGCTGTGTTCCCACCAAACTGAGTCCCATCTCCATCCTCTACAAGGATGATATGGGAGTGCCAACCCTCAAGTACCACTACGAGGGAATGAGTGTGGCAGAGTGTGGGTGCAGGTAGTCCCTGCAGCCACCCGGGGTGGGGATGAAGCACAGGGAAGAGGTCCTGATAGGATCCTGCACCCCCTGGGCATGATGGGGGCTAAGCCGATCTGGAACTATCCTGGAGGGGGAAAAGAATCACTTTCCCTTCTTGTTCCCAGGGGGTTCCTCTGCTGAATTGACAGTGACTGGGGTATATGGGTCTGTGGGCAAAGTGGGAGACCCTGGAAGGTATGGTGGCTAGAAAGATGATGAAAAGGAAAGGGGAGGAAAGGGGATTGGGGGAGAGCAGAAACTAGCAGAAGATATGGGTGAGGTGCAGAACATCATGGGAGTTACAGGGTCCAGGAAGCCAAGAAGAAGTAAAGGAAGACGTGGGCTCCATCCTTCACATCATGATATTTTCCACACCCCCACTGAGATGTGCATCGTGTCAGCTGTAGAAATCAAAACTCAGCAAGCAAATTACTGCAACCCGGCGGTAGGAGTCTGCCCCGTGTCTGTGGGGCCCTAAAGCCTGGGACCTTCCCAAGTGCCCCATGCAGTTGAACAGGTCACTGTGTGCTGCAGGAGTCACTAGATATGGAAGGCCCAGCACGAGGCCAGGCAGGGCTGAGTCAGGTCCACGTCCACCACTTGCTGTGCCCCAGCATGACCTGCTTGCTCCATGCCCATGCTCACTTTGTGGCCATGTGATTTCTGACAAAACCCAGCCCCTGAGTAAACACCCCCAAGCAACCACAGAGTGGAGAGGCAGTTCAGGACCTTGGCCCTCTGACACTCACTGATCTGAGCTGCTTTCACTGTTGGGGCAGTCCTCATATGTTTCGGGGGTCATGCAAGGCCACTTGCCTTTATCCCAATTCTGTGACCATCTGGGAAGGACTGCCTATGACTTGGGCCTCTGAAATTATCTACTCTGACTGGACAGCAGCCCAGGCAGGAACATCTCCTGCCTGAGGACTCCACCGAGGACAAGGCTGGGGGCTGAATTTGTTGGGATCAAATGTTCTGTTGGTTAACTATTTAAAACTTGCCTCCTTTCCTTCCTTGGTGACCTGCATTGAAATGATTAGAGGTCCAGCCTTACTGGGTGAAGGTTCCTGGCTCTGTTGCTCATCTACCGCCATTGACTCTGCCCGCACCGGCCAGCTTCCTTAAGTAGTGTGTCCCCTAGAGAGGACAGGATTTCCAGTCTTGTACTTCAGCCCCTCACCTGACTCTCCCGGTGGCTCATAGGACTGGACGGGGTAAGGAAGAGCCTGATGCCCTCTGGCCAGGCAGGGCCCCGAGGAGGGACTTAGAAAGATCTGGACCACTCTCGTGGCTTGATGCTCCCACATAATTTAAAACAATGATCTACATTAAATGTTTCCATGGAACCAATGAACAGCTTTAACACAAAACACAACGAAGTATTATTCTTAATTAGTAGAGTTGAAGAAAAGATACATTCCCAAGACATGCCGGGCAGCATGGCGTGGCAGCGCTGTTCACAAATGGTGATCGGTGGTGATGTCTTCTCTAGGTCCTAGGGATGATTCTGTGTGTGTGAGAGTTTTACTTAGAAATCAAGTCTAATGTCTGGTATGTGTCTTTCCATAATGTAAGGCCACAGCTGAGGACTCTCCAGTTCCACAGTCCTGCCCGTCTGCCTAATTAGTCCCTAAAAGATGTGCCATCCCTTTCCCTGAGGTAGGGGAGCCAGGGGAGAGGGACATGGAGCTTCCACAGGATAAAGGTGTGTGGTATCTACACATTGGGGTCAGTGAGTACATTTGTATGTAGGTGTGTGTGTGTGTGTGTGTGTGTGTGTGTTGGTAGTGTGTGTGTGTGTGTGTGTGTGTGTGTGTGTGTGTGTGTTGGTAGTGTGTGTGTGTGTGTGTGTGTGTGTGTGTGTGTGTGTTGGTAGTGTGTGTGTGTGTGTGTGTGTGTGTGTGTGTGTGTGTGTGTGTGTGGGCTTCCCAGACACACGTGTGCTGACATGAGCAGCTACATGGACAGAAGTTTGCTGGAAGTTAGCTGCCCAACTTTACCCTCACCTCATGCCCACATACACATGTCAGAGCAGAATGTCTCTCTCCGGGAGACAGATAACCTTAGGTTATCTCCACCTAGTGTCCAAGGGCGTCTCTGTCAGTATCTGTCCACCACTGTCATGCTCAGAAGCCCATCTCTCCAGCCAAATCCTACTCACAAGCTACCTAACCCCTATTCTCCTTCCTCAGGCCAGTGTTCTTCCCACTCCCTCCCCCAATTTCTAGCTGCACAACCCAAGTGGCATCACCTGTGAGGGAGACCCCAAATTCTAGCACCACCCACTCTGACCTACTGGATGTTCCAGCTCTAGAGAGCCACAGTCCAGGCTCAGGGGAACATCTCCCACACAAGGACTCCGCAGAAGGCAAAGCTGGGGTCAGGGACCCTTACAGACAACCGTGAAGTTTGACTTTAGTGTCATAAAAAATGGACACCAGGCAGGTGTCCCTCTGCATGTGTTTGCCTTTCAGATCCTGTCTCAACAGCCCCTCAGAGGACTTCCCCTTCCAGAAACACATCCTTATCTTCTACATCTCCACCCTTAAACACATGACAGCCTGTCACACAGTTGCCAAGGCCCAGCACGGGAATCTGACGTCCTTCTGGCTTGTGCCACTTACGGTCATGAGTCTTCTGGAGGTGAGACCATAAGCCTCTTGCTTTGGTCAATTCTGGAGGGCCAACAGGTCCTGTGTCACAGGACAGACTGATGTGGTGCAGTACGCAAGGACAGAACACACAAGGAGAGACTCGAGATGGGTCTCTGGCTTTCCTGCCACTGGGTTATTTGCGCATAGCATTTGTCAAAACTTGCTCACCCACTGCCATGGAATGAAACACAATATGGCCATCCTCCGGCCACTTACATGACAGATGAGCCCATCTCCAGTGCTGCATTGGACACAGCTCCTAAAGCACCTTCTGTTTATGGTAAAGTGGTCGCTGTGATGTGCATGGAGATGTTGAAACCGTAGGATAGTGCTGTTCTTACCCTGCTCACAGAAGGGCAGTCCTCTACCTCTTTTATGACCTTTCCTTTGTGCCAGGAACAAGGGGAGAGAGCGGAAGAATGCCAAGAAAATATGCCAGACACATGAACACAGGGACAGATCTCTGGAAGTGGTTTCAGGTCTTGTGAATCTAGGCAGACAAAATCTGGGCTTTGCTGCAGAATACCTGCCCTCGAGTCTGATGACCCTGTTATCTCTGCCCCAATATGTGCCAAGGAAGCCCACAAGGTTTCTAAAGCCTTTGAGCCACAGGCAGCAAAACCATCCATCTCTCAAAGGCCAGCCAGGTGTATTCACCAGGCAGCTTCTTGGGAAACAGCTAGGACACATGCCACTCTCTGCCCTGTACTGTCGTCCCAGCTCCGCCTTTAATGAGGATAGCAAGGAGACGGTGCCCATACCTGAGCAGGACACCTCGGGTGGTGTGTACTGGGTCAGACAGCGCCCTGTTTAGAGCCCCTTTCTCTTTTGATAGCAGTCTGTGCTTTGTAAATCGTCCCCACTGCAGACAGCCATGTGCTCACCACCAGCCTTAGCTTCCCTTGGACACATCCTGCTCAAACACTTACAGTTCACCGCCCGTGCACATCCCTGCTCATCAGAAAACTGTTTCCGACCTGTTCCACTGTCAGCCTCTCTGCAACATTCTCTTACCAGCGTCTGCTTGACCTGATTTTTCCTTTAGGGCTGATAATTCCTAACACAGGAGCATCTTGATGGGGGCTGTAGAAGCCGCTTTTGCCACAGCTGATACGTTGAATGGTGTGCAGGTTTGAAGGGGGTCAGGAGCTCCTCTAGTCTGTGTTACTTTCTGGGTCAAAGCGTTTATAAAGCAAGAACAATAAATAATGATCAGAAAAACCATGTGTGATTTGGAACATTCACAAGCTTCCCCATTTTTTATGTATGTGTATGTGGTATGCATGTGCATGTATCCATGTTCTTATGTATGTGCATGCATGTGGGGAGGGATGCTCATGCATGTGGAGGCCAAAGGCTGGTGTCAGGTGTCCATCACTCTCCATCTTGGAGCAGGGTCTCTCACTTAAATCCGGGCTCAGGGATTAGACCAACCTAGCTAGCCAGCTTGCTCTCAGGACCCCGCCTCTGCCTTCTATGTGCTGGGATTATAGGTGAGCCACCATGCCCGTCTGAGATTTATGTGTGTGTGAGGGTTGGAACGCCAGGCCTTGTGCTTCTACAGCAAGAATTTTATCCACTGAACCATCTCCTCAGACCACTTACTCATTTTAAATGAAATAATTGACATGGTTGGTAATTGGGGTTTTTTTTTGTTTTTTTTTTTTACAATCTCAAAAAAAAAAAAATGCTAAAGTCAGGCCAATCCAAGAAACTGCAAGCTCATGTGCTTCAGGGGAAGAAGCAAGATTTGAGAACCTCAAGACAGCCCTGAAATAGTACCTGAAAAGGGGTTCCACTTTACTTCACCGTTACTGTGACAAAATACCGACCAATGACGACTCCTGATCTCCAAAGGAGGGTTTTCGGGAAGTGACTTTGTTTTACAAGTAATCTCTCTCTCTCTCTCTCTCTCTCTCTCTCTCTCTCTCTCTCTCTCTCTCTCTCTCTCCCCTCCCTCATACCTGTCCACCATGAAGTGAGCAACTTTGTTCTAGCATGTTCTGTCACTGGCCTAAAAGCGATGGAGGCAGCTGAAAGCACTGAAACCATGAGTCAACGTAAGACTTTCCCCCTGTAATTGTTTATGGCCGGTATATTTTGACATTGTGGCCTTCTGGTCAGTCTTGCAGTAGTATGTCACAATACCGGATCCAGATCTCATGTCACCCAATCAAGGTATTGTGTACCCTAGGCAGCGGCAAGGGTTGTAGGTAGTTCTGCAGCCCATGCTTGGCAGCTGTTCATTTGTACACATGAGGACCTTCTGCCTCATATCCTTGGAGGGCATCTTTGTCATACACGTTCCCCTCAAAAAAGAGCATTATTCTTGGTAGTCTGCACCCTCTCCTTGTCCAGAGCTTAGCCTGGGCTCCAGCAGTGACAGATATGTACCCTCAGAGGAACTCTGACAGCATGCTTGGACTTGAGGCTTCCCAGGTGGAGGTTGAAAAGACTCAGTCCCCCAGAGAGGCTTCGTGTCTGCCTGCGGCTTCCCACCCCAGGCTGATTCTCACAGTAAATCTGCCTCATTTCCATTGGCTGCAAACAGTGGAGTGATGAGACCATATGTCACTTGGGTATTAAACAAATCCTAATGAGCTAAGAATATGTTTGTTTTAGCTAATTGACCTCTTTGGCCTTTGTAAAGCACTTGGTAAACATCTTCAGATAATGATTTCCAGAAACTGGCTTGCGGGTTTCCAGCTTGCAGGGTAAGCTCTCTCGTCTTCATCCCAAAGACCACCATGTCTGGCTGTGACGCCGTGGGACTCTCTGCTCTTCACTGAGCCCGGCCAGCATGTTCTAGATAGAACTCAAAAGCCAGAAGGTGGGAATGGGAAGTGTCTGCACCAGCTGCTACTCTCTGTACAACACCCCCACACATGCTACAATCTGGCCTAGGGATGTCTGCTAAATGAGAGAATTGTGCCCACTAAAGGCTGGCTGGGCAAAGCAGGGGTTCCAGAAGTGGGCTCCGTGGCAGAGGTTTTTAGATATCCAGGGCAAGTCAGTCACAAGCAAAATCCATAGCACTTTCATGAGAAAAAGGTGGAACACAGCAATGCACCAGGGGCTGGCCCCCAGGTGTACTCCTGCAGTATGAGGATGACCTGTATTCTGTGTGTGACTTAGGGCCACAGACGGCCACTCACTTCTCACTGCAAGCACTGGGCTGAAGCTGAGCTCTTAGCCAACAGGGGTCCCCACTGACAAAGCGAGTGATGCTCACTAGATCTCACAATTAACTTTATCTGACCTAGAAGTATTGACCCATGTCCCTCTCACCTGCCAAACACCTGCCATACCATATACTGAAATCCAGATATTCCATTCATCTTGTTGCTAACTTGTAAGGGGACCTATATTGTACCTAGAAGCATAAGCAGGATATAAGAAAAAACTTCAATTCCTGAGGCCAACAATGGCCCCAGACTCCTCAGCCTTGGCACTGAGATGATGGTGGCCTTCCCAGCCTCTTCTCGCTGCCTTTCACCTGTCCCCATTGGAAATGGTGGGCTCAATTAGCTACTGAACTCCATGGCAATAAAATATATATGATACTTGTTATAGAGTTACCTCATTGGTGACTTCCAGACACGGCAATGCTTTGTGAAAATGTTCACATTTAATCTACCCAACAACTCTCATAGTCTACTGAATAAACAAGATACTCTCGTAAGTCTACGGAATAAACAGTAGCAGAACCAGACCTCTAACTACATCTGCCTAATTCCCAAGCCATGGGTCACCCACAGAAGGAGGAAAATGATATTTATTTATAGATTAACAGCTCTCATTTGCAAGGCTTTAGTAAAAACTGTGAGTGTGTAAAGCATAGTTCAGGGCCTAGTATGTGGCAGGAACTCAAAATAAACACAATTATTTGTGTTATTCCATGGAGATGTGGCTCAGCAAGATGAGATGCAGTGTTCCTTCCGGGTCAAACCACCCTGGCCTCTTCCTCCTAGTCCCCTGGTGCACGCACCTGAATTAGACAGGATTAAAGGCTTACCAGAGCTGGAAGCCTCACATCTAACTCCCAGGTTGAGCCCCAGACCTTCTGTCTGCCTGCTAAGAAGGACGAGGGAGAAAGGCAGTTGTGGGAGCAAGACCACAGCCTTGTACACGGTCAAGGGAGCCTGACTCAGGAGCCAGGGCTCCTGGGATCCCAATGACGAGAGAATGGGTCCTGGTTTTGTCCAGCACACTGCTCTGTGTTCTGGCTGGCCCCATGCAGCACCTGTTCCAGCCAAGCTTGGTGCTGGACATGGCCAAGGTCCTCTTGGATAACTACTGCTTCCCCGAGAACCTAATGGGAATGCAAGCAGCCATTGAGCAGGCTGTGAAGAGTCGTGAGATTCTGGGCATCTCAGACCCTCAAACGCTGGCCCATGTGCTGACAGCCGGAGTGCAGAGTTCCTTGAATGACCCACGCCTCTTCATCTCCTACGAGCCCAGTACCCTCGAGACTCCCCAGCAAGCACCAACACTCACCAACCTCACCCGAGAAGAGTTGCTGGTCCAGCTACAGAGGAACATCCACCATGAGGTTCTTGAGGGCAATGTGGGTTACCTACGAGTGGATGACCTCCCTGGCCAGGAGGTACTGAGTGAGCTGGGGGGGTTCTTGGTGGCCCACGTGTGGAAGCAGCTCATGGACACCTCCTCCTTGGTGCTAGATCTCCGGAACTGTGCTGGTGGTCACATCTCTGGGATCCCTTATGTCATCTCCTACTTGCACCCTGGGAACACTGTCATGCACGTGGATACCATCTATGATCGCCCCTCGAATACCACCACCGAGATCTGGACCTTGCCCAAGGTCCTAGGGGAGAGATACAGTGCTGACAAAGATGTGGTAGTCCTCACCAGTGGACGTACCGGGGGCGTGGCTGAGGACATCGCCTACATCCTCAAGCAGATGCGCAGGGCCATTGTGGTGGGTGAGCGGACAGAGGGTGGTGCCCTGGACCTCCAGAAGCTGAGGATAGGCCAGTCCAACTTCTTCCTCACAGTACCTGTGTCCAGGTCCCTGGGACCCCTGGGAGGAGGTGGCCAGACGTGGGAAGGCAGTGGAGTTCTGCCCTGTGTGGGGACACCTGCAGAGCAGGCCCTAGAAAAGGCCCTGGCCATCCTCACCCTGCGTCGTGCCCTGCCAGGGGTTGTCCTCCGACTTCAGGAGGCCCTGCAGGACTATTACACACTGGTGGACCGAGTGCCAGGCCTGCTACACCACCTGGCTAGCATGGACTACTCAGCCGTGGTCTCTGAGGAGGACCTAGTGACAAAGCTCAATGCTGGCTTGCAGGCTGTGTCAGAGGATCCCAGGCTCCTGGTGAGAGCCACTGGACCCAGAGAAAGCTCCTCTAAGCCCGAGACTGGGCCTAATGACCCCCCAGAAGCCGCTCCTGAGGTGCCCAAGGAAGAAGCCGCCCGGAGGGCGCTAGTGGACTCTGTGTTTCAGGTGTCTGTGCTACCAGGCAATGTGGGTTACCTGCGCTTTGACAGATTTGCAGACGCCTCTGTGCTGAAGGCACTGGGTCCTTACGTGCTGCACCAGGTGTGGGAGCCTCTGCAGGACACGGAGCACCTCATCATGGACCTGCGTCACAACCCTGGAGGGCCGTCCTCTGCTGTGCCTCTGCTGCTGTCCTACTTCCGGGGCCCTGAGGCTGGCCCCGTGCGCCTCTTCACCACCTATGACCGCCGCACCAACGTCACCCAGGAGCACTTCAGCCACAGGGAGCTGCTAGGCCAACGATACGGCAACCAGCGTGGGGTGTACCTGCTTACCAGCCACAGAACTGCCACCGCTGCCGAAGAGTTCGCCTTCCTAATGCAGTCCCTGGGCTGGGCCACACTGGTAGGGGAAATCACTGCGGGTAGTCTGCTGCACAGCTGCACGGTGCCACTGCTGGACTCGCCAGAGGGTGGCCTGGCACTCACAGTGCCTGTGCTCACCTTTATTGACAACCACGGTGAAGCCTGGCTGGGTGGTGGTGTGGTGCCTGATGCCATCGTGCTGGCTGAGGAGGCCTTAGAGAGAGCTCAGGAGGTGCTGGACTTCCATCGCAGCCTGGGTACCTTGGTAGAAGGCACCGGTCACCTGTTGGAGGCTCACTATGCCAGGCCGGAGGCCGCAAGGCAGGCCAGAGCTCTCCTGCAATCCAAGCTGGCCCAAGGAGCCTACCGCACAGCAGTGGACTTGGAGTCCCTGGCCTCGCAGCTCACAGCTGACCTGCAGGAGGTTTCTGAGGATCATCGCCTGCTGGTGTTCCACAGCCCCGGCGAGCTGGTGGCCGAGGAGGTCCCCCTGCCACCTCCCGCTGTCCCCTCGCCAGAAGAACTCTCCTATCTCATTGAGGCCCTGTTCAAAACAGATGTGCTACCAGGTCAGTTGGGCTACTTGCGTTTTGATGCCATGGCTGAGCTAGAGACAGTGAAGGCCATCGGGCCTCAGCTAGTACGGCTGGTGTGGCAGAGGCTGGTGGACACGGCCGCGCTGGTGGTTGACCTACGCTACAATCCTGGCAGCTACTCTTCTGCCGTGCCTCTGCTCTGCTCCTATTTTTTTGAGGCAGAACCCCGCCAGCACCTCTATTCTGTTTTTGACAGGGCGACGTCTAGTATCACAGAAGTATGGACCCTGCCGCTGGTGGCCGGGCAGCGCTATGGTTCCCACAAGGATCTCTACATCCTCATGAGCCACACTAGTGGTTCTGCAGCTGAGGCCTTCGCTCATACCATGCAGGACCTACAGCGGGCCACAGTCATTGGAGAGCCCACAGCTGGAGGGGCACTCTCTGTGGGCATCTACCAGGTGGGCAACAGCCCCTTATATGCCTCCATGCCTACCCAGATGGCCCTGAGTGCCACCACCGGTGAGGCCTGGGACTTGGCTGGTGTGGAACCTGACATCACTGTTCCCATGAGTGAGGCCCTTTCCACAGCCCAGGACATAGTGGCCCTGCGTGCCAAGGTGCCCACAGTACTACAGACAGCTGGGAAACTAGTGGCAGATAACTATGCCTCCCCTGAGTTGGGGGCCAAGATGGCTGCCAAGCTAAGCGGTCTGCAGAGCCGATATGCCAGGGTGACTTCAGAAGGGGCCTTGGCTGAGATGCTGGGAGCAGACCTGCAAATGCTCTCTGGAGACCCACACCTGAAGACAGCACACATCCCAGAGGATGCCAAAGACCGCATTCCTGGAATTGTGCCCATGCAGGTAAGATACAAGAAAGACTTGGCCTGACCCAATCCTGGGAGTGAGTTGTCCAATAGACAGCACGTGTGTGTCTGTACGCACAATGCAAGACTGCAGCTCCAGGCTTCTGTGTTTACATTTGTATTAGTAATGTCCTTTCTTCCCTTCACCATGCTGTGTCTTCTACTCTCTGGGTCCATGGTCCCTGGACAACCCTATAGAATACTCAACAAATCTAATGTGAAACGTTGGGATGGAAGAACTTTCCATCTTAGCCAGGAAGAAGGCAAGAGTTTTCATGAGTTCCCACTATCAATGTTGGGGAAGGGGGTAATCAAGTTATCTGAGGCTCCAACATGAGATTTTTCTTTCCCTGAAAGTATGAGATTTATGTTAGCTGGATCCACTGTGTCCTTAGAGGTAAAGTATGGAGGCTGGTCCATACTTTGGGTGCTAACGCACAGCCCAAAGACCTGAGTATGGGGTCAACTTGTCATCTTCTCTCTAAACAATGCACAGTACTTATCCTGAGCAGAGGTGTGTGAATATATGTCTGTTCCAAGGACCAGCTTGATGGGAAATTTGAAGCAAGGTGGCTGCAGTCAGCAAACTTGAAAGCCAGCACCGAAGCACCTGGGAACACCAGCGGGTACAATAAGCTGATTGTGGCAGCTGGGAGGGGGTGGAAAGGGAAGGGACCTGGCCATGGCCAAAGCACACGCGATTCATGGAGGCCCCGCTCTACCTAAGGCTTCCATCAAAGAGCACTCCAGCCACCTCTCCACCCATTCTCACCGGTGACTTTGCTGTGAGGTCACAGCGAGCAGGCAAGGCTTTGCTTTGTCCTGAGGTGAGGGCTAAGATACAGGCAGCTTATCTGGGAGGTAGTCACTGGACAGGAAGACGGCAAGGAGGAAGTAAGGGTGTGGAAGATCCCCCTGAGACCCTGGCGAGTGTGGAAATGCCTCCTAGAACCAGTCCTCGGCAGGTGAAAAGGATCTATCAGCATCCGTCCTCCAGCGGTGGGAGGTCAAGACTCTTGCATGCTGCAGCTACATAGACGTGTGCTGCATGGAGAGGTCTGAGGCAGAGTCGGAAGACACAAGACTCAAGTTTCCACAGGGAGCCTTGCTGCAGGGCAATCGCCTGCATTCTGACAAGCGCTAAGGGCAAGGAAGGGCTACAGGCCACTGTCTAGACCACACAGACCTCTTTGCCCTCTGTCTAGGTCACTGAGTCCCACCACTTGAAACAGTGTTTAGGAGAAAACAAAGGAGAATCATATACCAGGAGCTCTGCACTAGACTTCCAGGACCCCAGTTGCCGAAATTGCCATGTTGGGTTTTCGTTTATTTTATTTTGTTTTTCCAGCATAGGCCCCTCGGGCCATGGAGTGCAAGAGAGTGGGTGGAGTTTGGAGTGGCATCCTTTTTCACCTGTAACGTCTGTGAGGGCCTCGGACAAGTTAGTCGCCTTGTCTGTGCTTCAGAATTGTCCTGGAAAGATGAGAAGAACAGTGCCTTCTATACAGGGTTGCTGTCAAATGTGATGAGGGCTGCGAAGAGCTTATCCCAGGGCCAGGCCCCTGAGAACGATTGCTAAGATCTCCCCTCCTTGTCCCAGCAGAGATGGGCCCAGGGACATTAAGAAGTGTCTGGTGAGGTTGGAAGCACCATACTTCTCCAGACACCAGATGAGGGGTTGGCAGAGCTGAGCATTCGCCACAAGGATGTCTCTGATCAGCTGACTCACACACCACACATGGTTCCCATCCCAGGGCCCATCACCCACATGCTCCCCTCCCAGACACCACTAACTCCCTCCCATTTCCTCAGTAGCCCATGGCACCCTTCTCCTGGGCACTGCCTTTTGCCAATCTCCTGATACTGAGCTAGACTTCCCATTCTTCCAGATTCCTTCCCCAGAAGTCTTTGAAGATCTGATCAAGTTCTCCTTCCACACAAATGTGCTGGAGGACAACATTGGCTACTTGAGGTTCGACATGTTTGGGGACTGTGAGCTGCTTACCCAGGTCTCCGAGCTGCTGGTAGAGCACATCTGGAAAAAGATCGTACACACAGATGCCCTGATCATCGACATGAGGTCAGTCGGCTAGGCTATGATTCCAGGCTGAGCCATAGCACTGGCTGAGGACAGTCAGAGCTACAGGTCAAAGTTGGTGGGGGTGGGGAGGAACCCCATGACACAATCAAGGAGCTGGAAGGAACCAGGCCACCTGCCTGCCAGGGATCTGGCCAGCTAGCCCAGAGGTTCAGATCTTATTGGCTGGTGAGACCTCAGCACTGGTAATTTTTTAAGCTCGCCTGATGATCCCAATGTGTATTTCAGGTGAAGAGTTACCCCACATCTGTTGCCTGACAGAAGAAACAAAGTGGGGGGCAGGAAAGGGAAAGATAAAACTGCTGATCCTTGGCCCCATGGCAGTCCTGTATCAGTAGCTTCAAGGGGGATTGCATAATCTATCATTCTGATTGTCAGCCATTCTACTGTGGTTGTACGTCTGCAAAATCACCCCCAAACCAGCCATTCTCATGGGCATCGCAAAGCCAGGGCCCCAGGGACCATTTGGAAATGAAGAGATGCCACTAGAGCAAGAAAGCTTTCCATAACAAAAAGGTCGTTGCATCTCTTCAGCCATTCACCATCCTTCACTTCTGAAAAACAAAAACACAAATAAACACTTTACATGGGAGTTCCTATCACAAACCCCCATGACAAACACCCACCTAGTCCAAGCAGAAGAGACCTCAGGCAGTGGCCTGACTCAGGCCTCCCTCCAATCCTAGGCCTTTTGGTGGGTGTGTCCCAAGCACCAGCCACCAGTAGGAGAAAGATCAGGCTGCTTCTCTCCCAGGGGAGCCTTTCCCACTTTCCTGCTGCCAGAGAAAGACTCAAGCCTCTCCCACCTAAGCACTCAGGTCTGCTGTAATTGCAGCTCTTGCACGACTCTTACTTTTTCCTTTTATTTATTAAAGGTTTTCATTTGTTTTACATACCAACCACAGTTTCCCCTCCCTCCTCTCTTTGCGTTTCCTCCCCCCACCTCCCATCTATCCCCCCCATCCACTCCTCCACTCCTCCTCCATTCCGAAAGGGGCAGGGCTCCCATGGGAGTCAACAAAGCATGTCATATCACCTTGAGGCAGGACCAAGCTCCCTCCCTCCCCCCCTCCCCCGAATCAAGGCTGGGTGAGGCATCCTAGCACAGGGAATAGGTTCCAAAAAGCCAGCTCACGCACCAGGGTCAGGTCTTGATCCCACTGCTAGGGGCCCCACAAACAGACCAAGCTACACAACTGTCATCCACATGCAGAGGGCCTAGGTCAGTCCCATGCAGGCTTCCTAGCTGTTGGTCCAGAGAGTTCCTGAGCTCTCATAAGCTGGGGTCAGCTGTCTCTGTGGGTTTCCCCGTCATGATCTTGACCCCTGCCCCTTGCTCATACAATCTCTCCTCCCGGAGCTCGGCCCAGTGCTTGGCTGTGGATCTCTGCATCTATTTCCATCAGTTACTGGGTGAGGGCTCTCTATTGACAGTTAGGGTAGTCACCAATCTGATTACAGGAGAAGGCCAGTTCAGGCACCCTCTCCACTATTGCTAGGAGTCTTAGCTGGGGTCAACCTTGTGGATTCCCGGGAGTTTCCCTGGCACCACGTTTCTCCCTAACCCCCAAATGCCTCCCCCACATCAAGACATCTCTTTCATTACTCTCCCCCTCTGTCCTGCCCCCAACTCAACGAACCCAATCCCTCATGTTCTCTTCCTCTCCACCCACCTCCCCACCCCCTCCCGCTCCAGTTTAGCCAGGAGATCTCATCTATTTCCCCTTCCCAGGGAAATCCATGTGTCCCTCTTAGGGTCCTCTTTGTTTCCTAGCTTCCCTGGGGCTGTGGATTGTAGCCTGATTATCCTTTACTTTACAGCTAATATCCACTTATGAGTGAGTACATACCAAGTTTGTCTTTCTGGGTCTGGGTTATCTCACTCAGGATGATTTTTTTTTTTCTAGTTCCATCCATTTGCCTGCAAATTTCATGATGTCAATGTTTTTTACTGCTGGGTAATACTCCATTGTGTGAATATACCACATTTTCTTTTTCCATTCTTCAGTTAAGGGGCATCTAGGTTGATAGTCACTAGGTGGTACTGAATCATAGCGAGGCTGGGATCCCTCCCTGGGAGATCATTTTCCACGGCCAGGTTTTCTACATGCCCAGAACCATAGCTGATCACTTCATTCCTTAGACACCTTAACAAACATCAGAGCCACCACCAGTACAAATATCCTTTTTATTAAATGTCATTCACATTTTTTAAGGGAAAGCCCAGTTACAGGCATCCTTGGCTTAGATTGTCCTGACCTGGGGTTGGGTACAAGATGCTGAGGTCGAGGGTCCTGACGATTCATGGCTTTCAGCTGGAAGAGTCTTCTGATGTACTGTCAGCCCCAGAGAGGGAAGGGCCATGCAATGTTGAATGCAAAACCCCCACCTTGTACTTCCACAATCTTGAGTCTACTACCACACCAAAGGCCACTAGTAACTTACGTTACTACACTTAATGGATTCTGTGTTCTATTCACAGGCAGTATGGATGCAGAGGAGCAGTCCATGGTCGATACATGGGAAAACAATTTCAACCAATTCCTAATTATAGGACTCATCAGAGCCTATAATACATTAATATATGTGAGCAGGGTCCAAATTCAGTATTTTCTTTTTTCACATTCTTTCTTTTGTTATTATTGTTCTTTTGGGACAGTCTCGATGTATAGTCCCAGATGGCCTGGAACTCACTTTGTAGGCCACGATGGCCTTGAACCTCCAGAGTTCCGCCAGCCTCTGCCTCTCAAGTGCTGGAATTAAAAGTGTGAGCCGCCACACACAGCCTGTACTTTCTGAAAGCGTTTGATCACAGACTCTTTTAGTCTCAAGAAACTAGTGCTCTGTGGAATCCCCTGGATCATGTCACCTGTGGAACTATGAAGGGGGTGCAGGGGACAAAGGGCTGAGACATCCTGAAATTAGAACCCTTCTTCACAGGACACAGACCCGTCTCTCTGTGAGCTCAGCCCCTCTTTGTCTCTGCTTCCCTCAGGTTCAATATTGGTGGCCCCACCTCTTCCATCTCAGCCCTGTGTTCCTACTTCTTCGACCAGTCACCCCCCATTCTGCTGGACAAGATCTACAGCCGGCCCAACGACTCTGTCAGCGAACTCTGGACCCACACTCAGCTCACAGGTACATGAAGCCTTCTTCTCCCTGTTCTCATTCTCAAACCTTCTGGGAAAATCAGAAAGACAACTTGAGAGGATATAAAAATAGCAGTAACAGATCATACGGTCCCTGCTCTGGTGGTCCACGGGACACAGTACTGGGACAACCTTCAGTATCTGAAAGCACCTGTCTAGAGAAGAAAAGTAGGCACTAGATGGCTTGAGTGTCTTGTCTAGGGTCCCCCAGCTAACAAGTGAAAGAGCCAAGATTCAAATGTTACTTTGCCCGACACCTGCGTGTCCCCCACTCTCAACAGTAATGCTAGCATCTTGTAGAACAAACACAGAATCTGGACGCCCCCTCCCCTTGCTAATCAAATGGGTGTTTTCACAGCTCATCTTGTCTGAGCTCTCAGTAGCAGCTCATCATAACTGCCTGAAGAAATGTCCAGGTGCTACCAGGCCTTCCTTTACCTGCCTGGGCCTGAGAACATCCAGGGTATCAGAGGCAACCCAGAGCTTCATAGACCCCTGCCTCTCAAAGTCGTCTTTCTTGGTGAACGGCCTGCCTCCCTCTGCCCAGCATACAGAATCAAGGACCCTGTGTGTGGAGCCTGTGTTCCCAGCCCCAAGAGGCCAGTGGAGAGGCCGATGGGGTACCTCTGACCAGAGATGCACCTGGCCAGTTTCATGTCTGCACTTCCTCATTACATAAGCGTTCTGCCACCATAGCTTTCAGGGTTTATCCAACAACCTTGAAAACTGTCAAAGAGAAAAATGAGAATCAGGTGAATTCTGAATTTAAACAGACATTCAAAACCAGAAGGTTAGGACAGCCTCCGATCTACAGATTCTAGAACTTCGGCCCACCAGCCCCCTTCAGCCACTAAGACCCTAAATGAGTGGTCTTTATTGAGGTGCATTTTCACTGTAAAATCCACACCAGATTTAGAAAACCTACTTTGGAAATGAAAGAAAGGAAAGGGGAAGCCATTATGGGGGTGGGGAGGGAGAAACAGAGAAGGTGAACCTCTGTGCTTCCGTGGAGTAATTTCATTTTAAATAAATGTATCTTTAACATACTGTTTAATCAAATTATAAAGTTAATTTCATCGGTTTTCTTCTATATTTGTTAATGTAGCTACTTAAAATTTTCAAACAACCACCGAATAATAAGGTAATAAATGTTGCCCTTCTGGGGAACCAAAGCAAAAAGACTCTCAGGTTAGAGTTGGGGGTACCATTATTCAGGACACAGCTGCATGCCCAGAGCTCAGGAAAAGCCAAGGCTTCCTTTTATTTGACCACAAGCAGCACATGGCAGTGCTTGGGCATATGAATGGCTGTCCCTGTGTCACAGGGGCAGACCGAAGCCAGTGGCCCACATATTGTCACAAGAGAGCAAGACTCAACCTGTGGCCCGCTTCATCTCATCTGGACAGGGTAGAAAAGGTAGGGTGTTGATGTGACCCTGTGCTGAAGGGCCTCTCTCCTCCAGGTGAACGCTATGGTTCCAAGAAGAGTGTGGTCATCCTCACCAGTGGTGTGACAGCCGGTGCCGCTGAGGAATTTACTTACATCATGAAGAGGCTGGGCCGGGCACTGGTCATTGGTGAAGTGACCAGTGGAGGCTGCCAGCCACCACAGACCTACCATGTGGATGACACCCACCTCTACATCACCATCCCCACAGCTCGCTCTGTGGGTGCCACGGATGGCAGTTCCTGGGAAGGGGTGGGGGTGACACCTCATGTGGTTGTTCCTTCAGAAATGGCCCTTACCAGAGCCAAGGAGACACTCCAGCAGGCCCTGCGAGGGTGAGGCAGAACCTGAGGCTCACCGAGAAGGGTCTCCATGGCCAGTGTTGCAATGGCAGGTCCTCTGAGCCACTACTGAGGCCCTAGCATGGGATCCTGCCGAAGGTCACATGGTCCAGGGCCTGCTGAGCTGGGGCATCCTCAAGAGCTCATCCATCGGACCCCACTGCTGCACCAACCTCTCCCCTGGAACTCCAAAAGTGGGAGCTCAGCCACCTCAAAGACAGCCCCCGTAGTAGTTACTCTGGAGAGACTGAAGTCCATCTCTCTTCTACCCATGCTTCCTAGCCTCCAACCTCTGGTCCCCATATGTCACCAGAAGAAGTGCATGATCCACAGATGTAAGGCACATGTGCCAGTAGCTTTTCCTAGCAGCCATCTTTCCGAGAGGGAAAAGAAAGAAGTGCTTAATGTTGGTAGTGCTTTCTGATGTTACGGCGTCTCTTTACCTTGGGATGGCATTGTCCTCTCTAAGTTCATTCTTAGTTGATAATATTATTAAGTCAAAAAGGAATCTGGTAGCCAAACAAGCCTATGAGAGAGTCAAAATATCCCAAATCGAACCACCCTAGGTCAGAGCCCGTGTGTGTCATTTATCTGACTTACTGTCCCCAGTTACCTTCTGTGACTATTAGAGAACAGTGGGGGCAAGTAGACTGCTTCTGTGTGACCTTTCGATTGCAGTGTGTAGTCTGGGGTTGCTGAGCATCTCTGTGTTTCTGGCACTCAGTGGCCACCTGCAGCTCGGGGCTTCAGCGGTTAGGAGCTCTTCCTCATGCATCCCATCTCCACTAGAGTACCTCCCCCACAACCCTGAGGTCATGTCTTTACCCACCAAGCATTGTCACCTTTATTTATCCTCGTCTGCGACATGGTGTTGGGTGTGCAGTAAATGTGTGACTGCTCTGTGGGGCTCAAGCACTCCGATTCTAGGGACCCCCCTCCCCTCCTTCTTCCTCTTCCCACTTCTTTCTCACTTCTTTCTCTAATTTAGCTTATAACCTAAATTGAATTCTTGGTGATAGAACGGTCAGTGGTATTTCTATCTTTCTTTTTAATATTTTGTTCTTTTTCTAGGTCCTCATAATAAGCATATAGCACTATTTGCAGATGTGGCAGTCATTCTGAAATACAAAAGTGCGTCTGTAATTGTGGCACCAGTGGTTTTTCTGTATATGCCTTTCTCTCCTTGTCTGGCACTGCAGGCATTTATGGATGGAGACTTGGTTTTAGGCCTGAGACCAAGAGCTTTAGGGGCGGCAGTTGACAGAGAGAGCCCATGGATGTTCAGCAGGGAGGATAATCAAGGTTCTTAGTTTTCACGTGAGCAACTATCCCCTGCTTCACCTGGGAGGCCACCAAGGTGCAGGAAACTCAGAAACCTGCCAGATGCCACACAGCAGGCTCGCTCCCCTTCAGGCCACCTGGTGTTTGCACTCTGTGGAGATTCACTCCCAACTGCACTGCCTACAGCAAAGAGTCCCTAAGAGGCCATGTTCCTAGACTCTAGAGTCAGCCTGCCTGAGTGGGAGGACCAGTCCAGCCTGCTCTGATTGGTGTGATTCTGGGAGACTTACTTCACTCTCTGGGCCTCCGTTCCCTCATGTGTTCAGTAAGGGAGGTAAATATTACACCTGTGAAAAATTACAGTTAATCAGAAGTCCAGCCAAAGTCAGATGTCATCATTTTTCTAATTCAAAATTGGATGTCTTGGAAGCTCAGCTCCCTGGTAGTGGGCAAAGGTTCTACCTTGGTTAGTTAGAGGAACATGGGGTCAAGATTAAATCTGGGACAAGTGACAAGTCTAGGTATCAGCATCCTGCCAGATGCCCAGTGGGCAGTGCAGACGGACAGCAGCAGCATCCTCAGGAGGCAGCTCCCAGGTGTGATGTCAGCTGTGGGCCTGCCTAAGCCACCTGGTTTTTTCTACCCACTATCCAGCCAGATCTCTCGGGCTGCTCTTCTGAGACTGGACACAATCCAGGCTCCTTCCAGAAACTCCCTTCTGCCTCCATCAGCCATATTGTTTTCTTTTAGAGACTAGTGCAGTCTGGAGCTGCTAGTGAGGGGATACGCGGGACCTCAACCAAACCTGTTGACCGGAAGATCCCAATGTTCCCGTCACATGGTGCATAGTGTCCCCTGGGCCTGGGGAGGGGATGTGAAGTGGAAAGAAACCAATATTCTCTGCACAGCAGAACAAGTCAGCCTTCCTTATGTGAGCCTCTCACGGGACCTGCTTGGAGACAAGACTAAGTAGAAGAAACAAGGAACAACACATATACAGGTCCCAGAAACTGTCTCTACTTAGTACCACCACACTCTCCGGCCCCACCTGACCCAAGGCAGCTCCTGTCCCCAGTTCAGCATCTCGGACTCACCCATACATTACTTCCAGACACCGCCCTCTCTTGCTCCTCTGCACACTGACACCAGGGTCCGGCAAGTTAATATCTAGCATTACTCCACATTGGCCCCTTCTGTCATTGTCTCCCTGGTCTTGAGGCCCCGGCTTGGTGCCTGAGCACCCACTTCAGCCTTTTGCCTCATCTATGGGCTGCAAGGGGCTGCTTTTACTGAAAGGCTTTGATCTCTGATGGCGTTCCTCTCAAGGGTCAGACTTACCTGTCCCATCCTGCAGATCAGGTGGAGAAGGAGCCTAAGACTGTAAGCAGCAAGGGTGGGGCAACTCCCTTGACCTTTGTCAGGGGTGCTGGAGGGCCCTAGAGTCCAGCTGGTCCTAATAGTCCGGGTGTTCCCACCACCTGCACGGTTAGTGGATTATAAGAGCTCTGGAAGGACTCCAAACTGGCTCTGTGTGGGCAAGACCTGCCTAAGGGGCTTCTGTTGTTCTCGACCAAAGCCAGCCTTTGGGTACAGAAAACAAATGCAGGGTTGTTAGACGCATCGCCTTCTGTATGGTTGCCTCTCTCCCTGGGGCAAATCTTGAGGATTCCAGGCCAGATACCACGCAAGGAGTGAATGCAAAACAAAGAGCTCCAGAGAAGGTCCAGGGACTAGATATGAACAGCAGGGTTAGGGAGCTGGCACAGTCTTCACCCTGGCCGGGGTGTGACCAACAGGACCAAGGTGGGCAAGATAGAGGATGGCACTGAGTGTGCTAGAGTGCCATGCCCAGGTGCAGTTGGTCATCAGAGGAAAGGACTTGGACCTCCAAAGTCTTGCTGGAGTATGCATGGCCTGGCTCCCTACAGCAGGGGGCATCAGGAATCCCATCCCCATTCAACTAGGAAGGTGAAGAGAGCATCTGGAGGCCAGCACAGCAGAGGGGGCCCCTGGCCATCTCCTGTCTCACTCACCCTACAATGCCCAGGGTCACCGCCATTACCAGAATGCAATGAAAGGAAGCCAGGCATATTAAAGCCCACTCCTGGGCCAGCAAGCTCTCCAGGTCCCCACAAGAGGGTACTTAGCTACCACCTACTGGTTCCTGAGGGATTTAGCTGCTGCCACCTGGCCTGGGGACCTCAGCTCTGCTTTACAGACCAGTGACTGGTACTGAAGATAGCCTCTTAACCTGAAGATCTTAGAACAGCAAAGGGACCAGACACCGGAGGTCCCCTGCCTCCAGCCCTGGGAAACACATCATGGATAAAAGAGGAAAGCTACATTTAAAGCCTCCTCTCTTCTCTTCCCACCCCTCATACAAAACGGATTTCTAAAAATTTTCTCCTAGGAGGTATTTTAAGTCACATCATATCATAGAATAACTTCCTTAAAGAGGGAGGGGCTTATCCCAGCAGATTCATATCTCATATACTACATGACCTTTAGGCCTGTCACAAGACTTGTAATAAGGAAAGTATAAAATGATGGGGATTTGTGAAATCTCTATCGGAGAAGCAGCTTACAGAGGCCTCTAGGGAGTGCCATCCCTTCCCAGGGGGATGGAGGAGGCAAGGGCTGTAACTGGGCTTTACATATTTCCATCCTGTGCAGCATGTCTCTTCCAGCGCTCATGAGGATAGGGGCCATGAGTGAGGTTAGAAGGGTGGGCCTGGCCCCTGGTGCATTCAACAGCTGGAAGCCTATCAGACTTGGGGGTGGGGCACCAGCTGATTGATGGTTCTTTCATTCTCCACACAGCAAGTCTACGCCACGTTCATGTCACTCACGTTGCCAGAATGCAGTGAAAGGAAGCCAGACATACCAGATCCCAACCCTGGTCCAGGAAACCCTCCTCCAAGTCACCACAAGAAGGCATCCATCTGCCTAGCTGTGTTTAAGCAGCAGTTGAGTTAGTAGACAAGTACTTTTACACTAATTCCTGGCTTGCTGCTCTCTCTTTTAGCTTCTTTCAGCTCTGGGGAGGCTTCCCCCAGGAAACCCATCCAAGCTCATGGCAAGACCTGTCCCCAAGGTGTGCCATCACCATGTCTGTGCTCTGGCCCCTTCATCTACATACATTTTTCTAATCATACAGTCATTTGCATTTAGGATCCCTGACCTAAAGATCCAGGAATCTGCAACAAGTTCAGAATTAGGACCTGGCATCATGGTGATTTTAATTGTTTCCAAGATGACAGTAAAAAGAAAACCTCAATGATGGTCTAAATTCAGCACTATAAGCGCTCGGGATATGAGTTGTTGGTAATTGTCTAGTAAGTTGATCTGAATTCAGCATGGCCTTCTTCAGTCTCATTTTCAAATTCTTTTTTAAATTCTGGGCAGTGCTGGAGACTGAACCTGTGTCTCACACATGCTAGGCAAGCACCCTACTACTGAGTCAAAACCCCTGGCCCCTGAGGACTTCTTAGAAGCCTTAGTTTTTCCAAGAATTATTTTATATTTATAGATGTGGAAGTGGTTGTGCCACATGTGTGCGGGCACTGCTTGAGGCCACAAGAGGGCACCAGATTCCCTGCAGCTGGAGTTCAGGGCAGTTGTGGCGCTCAGCATTGGTAAGGTAACCCACCTTGGGTCCTCTGGAAGATCAGCAAGCACTGTTAACCACTGAGTCATTCCTACACCCCTAGAAGCAGTAACTGAACTGTGTATAGAAGGCGGCTGCCTGATCTGTTCCGGCTACTATAACAAAATGCCATAGACTGGGTGGCTTATAAACAACAGGAATTTATTGTTCACAGTTCTGGAGAGTAAAAGAGGGACAGGTGTCAGTGGACAGAATGCCTTATGTGAGGATCACCTCCTAGTTCAGAGGTGGTTGTTTTTAGCCATGTCTTCAGAAAGAAAACAGGGAGCTGGCACTTCAGAATTTTCAAATGAATTTTGAGGAATGAAAATATCCAGGCTATTTTTTTAATGAAAGAGATAACTCAGGAAGTCATGGTTTAAAGTAGCCTCTCCAGGAGGAACAAGTGACTGAGAGAGGAATACAGGAGAGGGGAGTTGACCTCCAGAGGAAGCCTGAGAGCCCAGCATGCTTATTCTGAGGAACTGTGTCACTAACAAATTCTAAGTCATGGACTCCCAAACATCTTTGAACTTGTAAATCTGAAGGGCTGCCAAACAGCTGTGCTGGCATCAATTCTGAGCATCATCTGCACCTCATGACAGAAGCATTCCCTTTCAAAGAGACGGCATAGAAATCACGGGTCAATCCACTGCGCCAGAAATAAGTGTGAACCTGCTTTTGACAGACGCCACCTCTTGCCCTCCTTGCCAACTCAAGAGCTGTCAGGAGCAGGGCCAGAGTCAGGCAGATAACTTGTAACTGGTAACTTATTATTCCTTTCAGCAGATAGGTGTGAGTGCCTACTGTATGTCTGTTTTGTTCCAGATGATGGGAATCCAGCAGGAACGAACAGCAGAGCCCGCTTTCACTCTAGTGATGAGTGCTCCAGTGAACAAGACAAATCTATACACTACTTAGTGTACAGGATGGAGAAAAGTGCTCAAGAGAAGAGTGGTGTGTGTGTGTGTGTGTGTGTGTGTGTGTGTGTGTGTGTGTGTTTCTGCGTGTGTGTCTCTGTGTGTGCATGTGTGTGTCTGTGTTTGTGTCTGTGTGTGTGAGTGTGCATGTATGTATGTCTGTGTGTCTGTGTCTGTGTTTGGTGTGTCTGTGTGTGTGCATGTGTGTGTGTCTGTGTGTCTGTGTTTGTGTCTGTGTCTGTGTGTGTGCATGTGTGTGTCTGTGTCTGTGTGTGTGAGTGTGCATGTGTGTGTGTGTCTGTGTTTGTGTGTGTGTCTGTGTGTGTGCATGTGTATGTGTGTTTGTATCTGTGCACAAGCAGCAAGGTTAAGTTGAAATGGACGTGTGGAGACTAGGCCGGCCTCTAAGCTCCAGTTCTTGAGTCATGCAGTACACTCCGTGACTATGCTAGCTAAGCAGACATGCAGCAGGCTGGAAGAGACACAAGCTCAGATCTGGGGGTCACTGGATTTTGTTCTTCCATCAATACTCTAGAGTAGTGGCCTCGGGAAAGTCACTAACCTTCTCAAGTTTAAATTCTTCTGCAGTAGTACCAGAATTCACTGTCTATGTCCTCCAGTGTTGGGGGGGGGAGGCAGTATGACCAGAGGTAAAGTGCCTGCTGGAGACCTCATTCTTAGTTCCCTCCAGTTGTTCCTTCCTGCCCGGCTCAGGATCACAAGGAAGGATGGCACCTGGGAATCACGCAGAATGAATGATGTATGTCTGTTTTCCTCTTCTCCCATATTCACAGTGCAAAGACCCGGAGAACAGGAGGGTTGATTGCTGGCCCCACTCCCTCATTAGGGTTTCAGCCAGGCCACTTTTCCACTTAGTCCCCAACCCGGATGTGGGTTGTCCCAGAGAAGGTTAGGCTTGTGACCCAGGCGGAGGCCGGGAATCTAACTGAGCATTTCATCTGCCATCTCTGCTCCCAGCTTCACTGTGTCCAGAGTATTGACCCAGCAGGAAAAGGACATAGACTTGAATGCAGCCTGAGCCACATCTGCCAAGCCAAGCTCATCCTCAGCCTTGCTGCAGACTCATGGCAGAGAAACCCAGTACTTGTTCACCCCTGAGATTTCACAAATAATGCAGCTGACTAGCTCAAGCAGTGACTAGGAACTTTATACGCTTAGTGCTCACATTCTACCAGGAAAACGAGCTGGCCACTTACCGCACACTTTCCTCAAGACTGATGGCATTCATTAGCACACCATTTTAAAATGAGAAAACTAAGGGTCAGCAAGTTAAAGGAACATGTCCAAGGTCGCGGCTCTTAGGCAAGAGAGCCCACCTTGAATGCAGGCTTGCTTGCCAGCAAAGCCAATGTCTTGTGCTCACATGCTTTCATGCAGGGCACTAGGAACAGAGCCAAGAACACATCACAGGGGCTAGGACATGACAAATTATAACTGAGCTGTTCATCTCTGGGAAGCAAAGGGAACAACCTTGAAGACACCTGAGACAAGCTTGTCAATAAAGGCCAGGAATCACCTGTGTCTCACCACTGAGCACTAGACACTATGGCCATCGGCTTTCTCCTTAGTCACCTACTAACTGTGGGAGGTCATATGCCTGGAAAGATGGTGGCGCTCCCGGAAGAACTCATGGCAAACGGGGCAAGTGAGGACTTCCTCTCTCCGTTTCTTAGAATGCGGATCAGGGCCTACATGCTCCCTTTTGTGATGGGACCGCATGTGGAAGACCAGGTCAGCCGTCAGACGAAAGGCAAGGTTGCACTTTGCACACCAGTTCTGAGTGGACAAGCCTGGGGAGGAGAGTGTGGGGGGCAAGAGAGCCCGAGAGGCTGTGGCAGAAGGGGGTGAGGATGTGGGTACTTGCACCTGGGTGTGATCCAGCCATGGTGTGGGAGCCCCCTGGAAAGCATTGCAGAGTAGAATGTTCTGTGAGAACGTGTGTAATCTCCAGAAATCACCCATGACCTTGAAAGTTGACAGCTGAGCCCAACATGGGATGTCCACAGTGGTAATAAGTCCTGAGAGCTCCCATGGGCCCTCTGTATTTCCACTGGCCAGAAACATGTGGGAGCGCCTGGGTTTCTCTGCTGGGCGCTTGGCCGGCTTGCTGAAAGCGCTTCTCTGCTCACTCCGGGCTGCACCCGGCCATACCGAGCACACTGTGCCATCAACTGAGGCTCTGGGGAGATCCAAGAGTGGCTGCTGAGTGCCGAGCTGGCCTGCTGGGTCCTCTGGCTTCCTCTTCTGAGCCTGAATATCCCCTGGCCTCTCCTGGAGACATGGCAGCTCTGTGCATGCCTTACAGGCCAGAGGCCTGTCCAGTCGAGGCTTGTTCAATGCTGTCGACAGACTCAGTTCAGAACAGGCCACATCTTGGCCACCCTCACCTGCAGCAGCTCCAGAGTCCAGGTTTGTCTTCCTGAGCAGCCCTGACTGGACCTCCTCGGGTGCCATGAGCCTCCATCTTTGCTCAACTGAAGGACTCAGAGAAGCCCCTTTGCCCTCAGCCATGTGATCAGCAAGGCCTGACAGGCTAAGCAAGGTGGATGTTCCAGCAGCCATTCATCTAGAGGGCTTTGGAGTTCCAAAGGACCAGTCTCTACCTCCAGGAGGAGCTATGAGACTGGAAAGTCCCTAGTGAAGCCTGGACTGGATGCCTTTGACGACTCTCTGCAGAAAAAGAGAGCAACAGTGAGCAACACTGGTCATTCAGTGCCCCATGTAGGCTGACACCAGCGCAGCCCACTTTTTCTGGCCTTCCTTCACTGTCTGTGAGGTGGGAGCAGGATCATCTGAGGAGAAAGAGAAAGGATGAGCTCAGATAGTTTAGACTCCAGCAGCAGGTGGAGACAGGTGTCTGCCAGAAAGAGCACTGGAGCACTGGCACCAGATGAATGTGCCACGGCCCCGTGCAGGGAAAGGCAGGGAAGCCACAGAAACAGCTACTGTGGTTAACAAACCTGGCTCAGAACCACGGAAGCTGAAGAGGTAAGGAAGGGAGCCTGCTGTGAGGCAGAAAACAGGAGTTCCTGGACACCTGCCCACAAGCTGACCCTGCAGTCAAGAAGAAGGTACCATCAGCTCCTGTTCCAGGAGCTCTGTCTGGCCCTGACTGGTCCAGAGCCTGGGGGAAGCCACAGCATCAGGAGGAGGCATTTGGAAGGTTCATGGATTCGTTATCTTGGCTCCTATGGCATGCCTTTCCTTCCCTGTTTCCGACACTAGCAGCCCCTTCCTCCACATCACAACTCTAGCCTGCTTCCACTTGTGTTGATTCCTCTGGACCAATCTTGGATCCCTTATCCCTGCTTTCCCTACTCCCACCCAAGCCTTGCATAGTCAGGCCGCCTTTCCCTGTGGACCCTAGTCCAGCTGAGACCACCCAGTGACCACTGCTTAGTTTTATGCACTTTTCCCCCTGCTCCAGCCCCTGATAAGGAGTGTTTTTGTGGAGTCCTTTGGGAGTCAGGGACTTGATAGAAAAGCCAGGGACAGGGGGAAGAAGGGTGGGTTTTTGTTGTGAAGCTTCAGGACTGCTCCATAGAGACCTCACTTTCACCTCACCTAGATCTGGCTGTCCTCTGAGTCACAAAAGGAAAGCTGTCGAAGGGTCACAGTGCAAGTGGAAGGGAGGTACATGGGTAGCCACAGTGGGGCGCAGCAGCCGAGGACTAAAGCCCCAGAGTCCCGAGGGATGCCAGGGCAGGGTCTCATGGACGTTCTCCCCACACTGTGGGAGCTAACCACCAAACACATGCTTAGAAGTGGCTTTTGCTCCCATTGGAGATTATAACTCAGCACCGTTTCCTTTGAGAGCTGCAGATCTCCCCGAGTGTGCAGATCTGAGGGTCCCTAAGGAGCCTGCCCATCAAGCAAAGGAATGGCCTCCATCAGCACCCTGCCCTCCCCTGCCTTAGTCATCATATTGTCCAGCTGCAGCTCTAGGGATAGCCTGGGCAGGATGGGTGTCATTTCCATTCTGCTGATGTCTTAGGCCCAGAAAAAAGAGCCTTTGCCACTCTCTACCCACAGAGGGCACATAGATAAGTCATACTGCAGCAATCAGAAGGTACTATCTGGACCAAAAGGTTCCTAAACCAGACAAAAATACGGGAAAATTATTGCTTCTTGGGACAATAGAGTAAATATCTGATCATTTTTGTACCTAGCATCTTCCCAGTCAAGTCCAGTTTCCAGTGTGTTCCTACTACCAGGGTTCTCCACTGCTACTCAGTCCCTGTCTTTCTCCAGTCCAGGTCTCCAGCCATCCTTCTGATGGTGGTACCTACTCTGCCCCACATCTTAATGAATTCCTTCTCTGAGTTGGCCAAAGCTGATGTTTGCTACCTCAATGCAAAGCACTGTGACTGTCTAGAAGTGACAACCCCACCCAACTCTGAGGGCTTGCCTCCAGGACTCTATCGGGGAGGATGTCAACACAACACACACTCACATGTGCACACGTGTGAGCAAACACACACACAGAGGCTACGGCTCAGTGGCACCAGCGGCTCAGCATCATCCCTGCATCTGGGGCAGCCACTACCGTATCAGCAGAACATAAACAGTGTCACCTGCCAGCTTGACTTCCCTGACAATTCTAATGTGTTTGCACCCGCATTAACAGTTTTCCTTGCTGGTTGGCAGGCTGATTTTAATTCTTGTTGTCAGGTGTGCTAGGCCACTTCAGGTACTGAGAGGGACGGACACAGGGGCTTCTGTAGGCACAAGTGACCAGAGGGCTAGAGGAACACTTGGCAGGGTGGGTGTGGGCTGTGTCTGGCCCTTGCGTCACCCTGAGGCACAGTCCACTCTCCACCTGGCCTTGTTCCTGTCTAGAGCTTGAGTCTCCCTGCTCGCCTCTCACCAGACACACTCACTCTTGACTCGTCCTGCACCTAAACCCACTCACTTCCCCTCTACCCATGTCAACTGTCTGCTTGTCCCAAACCATTGGGCATCCACCGGTGAACTGGCTTCTGACTGTGCCTGGAGGTGCCATGGTTTAGAGGGGACAGCACACTATGGGGGAAACGCATAGGCAGCAATGCCATCAGCTCTCTGCAGGTGGCCTTCAGCACTCCCCTCTCTCCATTAGCCCAGCCATCTGGTTCTAAAACTAGGAAACAGAACCTAACCATCTCCCTCCACAGTGCTGGCAGAACCACAGTGCTGACCAGACCAGCATTCTAGAGTTTTCATCATTGGAAAAACTTACCCTGAGCCAGAGTGACTCAGAAGTGACCAGGCTCCATCCTCACTGGGACTCAGGCTTCTTGGGCAGCTGCATCATCTCACTGCCTTCTGCCTCCCTGTGCAGGGAACACACAGCACATGCATCTCCCACCTGCCCCTTTCCTTCAGAAGTCCCCAGAGAGATTCAACCAGCATCAGCTTTTTGAGGGAGTTAAAATATAGAAGTTACCCAAAGTGCAAGAAAAGGGAGCCTCGACACCGTCTCCTCTGACAAAAGCTTTTGAACAGCTGCTATGGCAAAAAAAAAAAAAAAAAAAAAAAAAAAAAAGCAATCACAGTCCCCTCCTCTGTGTGGTTCTGGGTCCCCAGGTCCCTCATCATACTGTGTGCTGATGGGACAAAGTGGATCACCTCAACATCCTTTCTAAACCACAGCTTCAGTGGGGCTGCTTCTAGCATCAGACATCATATTGCCCAGTGTTTTGAGTGCAGAGGCGTCAACAGCCACAGGGTAACCCTGGGCAAAGCATCCAGCCCTTCAGAGCCCCAGGTTTCTACTATGAAATGGGCTAAAAACATCTCCACAGTTCAGCCCTGATCTCCCAGATGTAACTAACTGGATAAATTGCTCCTCTCTTTCTCAAATAATAGCAAGTCTGTTTGAATCCCCACCAGTGAGTTTCTATTCCATGCGCTCACGCAGACACACATACACAGTCACACAGGCACATTCGCACATACAAACACACTTTACACACACACTTAACACACAAATACACATATAGTTTCACACAAACACACACTAATATACATATGTTCCCACAAACATATTCATACACATTTATATGAACACTCCCACAATACACCAAAACACACAAGTCCTCTGTCTCTTCTCTAATCGCAGATACTTCTCCAAAGTCAGCTGGATCCAGATAATGTTATACCCAAGGGTGTTCAAGAACCTGCCTCAAAATTCCCTGATCTTAGTGCACTCACTTCCAGCTCTGCAGAGGCCCCATGATGCCCCTTCATGGTCCAGGCAGCATTGTCCAACCAGGGACAGCTAATCCCAGGAACCAGAACTTTCAGTGGCATGCAAGAAGATGTGACCACCCTCTTCTCAGGGACATGCAGGGCAGAAAGCTGGTCACCAGGATGCTTCATTATATAAAAAGTAAAGTGGTGATAATCTGCTGTTTAAGTGTGTATAGACAAACAACTCTGTGCATTTAATTTCACTTAATTTTCACAAAACCTATGCAGTGCATTGTGTTTCTCAACCCAATATTTATTGCCAACCTATCCCCATGTCATTTTGCTCAATTCCACAGGGCAGCTTTCGACACCATTGTGAATCTGGAGAATGCCAGCTATTGAGTTAGATAGCCTATCCAACTATATGCCCCGTCAAAGCCATCAACCCAATCCTTAATAAGGGGGGGGGGGAGAAAAGGGGGAAATGAATAAATGATAATGAGGAGAAAGAGAAAGGAGAAATGGAGCAGACATAAGCAAACTAGTAACTAAGCAGAGGACAGTTCAAAGAAGTGTGTGTATATATGTATGACTTATGTGTATGTGCTTATATGAGGGTGTACAAGTATTAGAGTGTGCATTTGTCTGTATGTGCCTTCGTATATGGTTGTGTGCATGTGTACATGTACATGTGGAATCATTGCCTGCCTCCCTGAGACTACCTCTGGCTCACAAATCAGCATTGCTTGGGGTTAATCGTGCAGGCAAGCGCACGGGATTTCCTATAAGGCCCATCCCAGGTCCTACTCCCACATCTATCCTCCATGAAAACTGACAGATGGAAGCCTCTCAAGATGGAATATAGTGCGAGGTTGCTACGGCTTGCTTCTGCAGAAATGCTGCTGCCTCCATGCGCTCTGTAGGGACTCCCAGCCCTCCCTTTAACACCGGTATCTTTCCCAGGGCCAAAGCTAGGCTTCCAGGTCTCATCCCACTGCATCTGCATCCCCTCATCCCTGTGCCTCCCAGATGGCCACCACAGATGTGGGGGCTCATCTCCAAACCACTCCACATCCCAACTACAGAGTTCTGTGGGTCAGAAGCCTGACCAATCACACAGCACCCGGCACTTTTCCCTTCTCACCTGCACCCCCATCACCCTGTGTGCCTGTGGACTCACTCCCCGTGCAGCTGTTTTCTGGGCAAAGTGGAACTGCCCCTTCCCCTTTCTCCTCCCACAGACACCAGCTGCCCTAGGCGGTGATGGATCTGTGCAGTCCTTGTTCCTTGCTCTGGACCCCACATGAAAAGACTCTTTGTTGTTCTGGGCTGTCCTCAATGGCCTCAGTTCATCCTGGGCTCTCCATCCTGACTCTTTTTATGGGTCCTCGTCACTCCATCATTGTATGTGTTCCACCAAAAGGCTTTTCTTATCATCCTTGGCTCTTTTCACCACAAGGCACCCCTCTGAATTGCACAAACATGATTCAGAACTACTTATGTTCTTCTATCTGAAAAAAAAAAAAAAGAAGAAATTCCAAGACCCTCCCACCATCCTCAGAGACCTCAGATCACATGATGATTCTATGATCCGGAGTGCTTTCTGATACCAGGATCCCCCAATCAACAAGATAGATATCTTTCCGTGGACCATCTTCCCTGCCATAGTAGATACTTCTCTCTGTAGCTCCTGTCAGGGTACTGCTATTGACCAACACAGCAAGTGCTACATTCTGAGAGATCAATCTGTTTCCAGTCTTGTTATTTCTGCTTGAATACAAACTATAGACTCATCATTCCAATGTCTAAGAGGCTCTGGTTACATTCTCCCATTCACCCTTGCTGTTCCAGCTACTGTGGAGCCCCACATTCACATCATAAAGGTCAAGTGCATGGGTTCCAGGGACAGAAGACCTGGATTCCATCATTCTTTGCCATTATCCACACTAGGACTTCTATTTTCCTATCTGTAAAAGGGAACATTCAGGTACTCCATCTCAACGTATTGTCCTAAAGATTGGTTAGATCATCATGTCTAAAGTGCCAAGGAACCTGGCTCAGCATTCAGTTTGAAGACAAACTGTTGTCATGCTTATCACAAAGGGACAGTCACCTCATGGCCAACTTTCCATGACTTGTGAACTCAAAGAAACAAGCACGTAGTGGTGCTAAATGAATAATCAAGTAGCCAGGTCATTTCTTTCCTTTTTTTCCTGTATACAGACAATAAGATCTTATTAAACAACTGGATACCTCAGAGTTCTGAAGTCCTCTTAACACTGTATCAATTCCTGTGGATCTGAGTTGCAGTTCAGAAACAAGTTCTGCTCCATGACACCGTAATACCTGCTAGATTGTAGCCTGTATTTGCTTTTCTTCTCAGTTGAAACAAAACAAGGCATAAAACACTCCCAGTGTATCTAGTCTTTTTGCATTCCTAGTCTCTGGAGTCTTCCCAGACCCTTTTGGAAGATTCCAGAATGTAATCATGCATTAACACCTTCTGTATAAGAATAACCACTTGAGTTTTTCTGTGGGGAATGCTCATATTTCTAGGCATCTCCTAGTTCTGGAATATTAGAAACATTGGAAACATCAAAGCTTTCCAGGCTTTCGTAGAGAAGCAGAGCTTTTAAGAGGACATCCTAACCAGTTCCTAGAGGTTTCATGTCCAACTTAAGCTCCAGTCTTCTAGACCAAAGCTGTTTGAATGCAAGCAAAGTCAGTTCCCAGGACTACAGTAAGGCTACACTTAGTACTAACCCAGCTTGGCCATGTGGACCCACATAAAGGTAGATGACATATCCTCACCCTTCCATCCCCAGGAATTTTCAGAAACAGGGCCAATGAACTCAGAGGACAAAAACAGTGCTTCATAGGGGTTCTACTAGGTGAATTCAGGGTTAGCTATGGCCAAACATGGCCAGGACCCTAGAGCAAGGAGCCACACTCCAATAAACATCATTAACCAGCCAATAAGTAGTGTTATCTGGGGTAATATTTCTGCTAGAACCTGTGGGGTTGAATTGGCCTCAAGGACTCAGATTCCAAGACATAGCTTGCATTGCAGTTTCAGCCTAGCCACTCACTAGGCGCATGACCCAGGACAACCACTCAGGATGTTAATCACATTATAAATAAAACTGGAATAGTGATTTTTAATTCAGGGTGCTTCTAATTGGACTAAACAGGGTGTGTGTGTGTGTGTGTGTGTGTGTGTGTGTGTGTGTAAGATAAGCTTCAATAAAGGAAGCTCTTCTTCTTGGTACTATCAGAAAGGAAGAGCAGGTGCCCCACCCCAGCCAGGGTTTCACCTCCAGGGCAGCATTCACAGGATAAAGTACATGGCTTATCTACCAGGCTGTTCAACAGAGACCCTTTTATACTCAAGCAGTAGCATCATCTAAAGAGAGAAGGGCAGTGACATTTTTATAAAGATACAGACTGTGTAATGAAGGAAAATAAAATTTAAAACATTGAAACTCAAGACTTTGCTTCATATACTTTTTTAGCAGCTTATCTGTTTTAAATATAAGCCGCCAGCTCCTGGATTTCTGAAGAAAGAAATCTGCCAAACAAAACTGCCATGCAATTCCAAATCAGCTGAGAAGCATCCCTTTCACCAGCGCCATTACCAGTTCTGACTCACTGGAGCCAGTGGTTGGATGACTCACAGGACAATTGAGCTCTCCAGTGCAGAGCACAGTCTCCCAAACCCCAGCTCCCAGCACATGCGTATTAACTGTTCAGAATTCCTTAGTATAGCATTGCAAACTCTTCAGCTAACCACGCCGCAACGCTCATTGACCAGATGCTACTTCTGCTTATTGACAAGCTTCCTTTTCTGCATCCGTGAAAAGTTAAGCTGGCAGAATTATCATTAAAGGCACAATAACTACAAGGTCAATTTAAATTGTTCCAAGGAAGACAAGGCTGCAAACTTTAATTGGTGATTAACATCTTCAAAAACAAGCAAGTTAGTGTATGTTTTGTATGTGCTTTTAAATATAAAGACAGATCATAAATATCATTAAACATGAAATTGTGTCTTTGTCAAGACTAAATCTTTAACAAAGCAATAAACATCGATTCAGTAGACATGCTGTACCTGGTTCCCTAACAATTTAAGCAGGCTGGCTTTCCTAGTTTTCTTGTCTTTAAAATGTATCTAAGGTAATCTTTGAGGGTAACATGAAATATTTTCACATTTGTTCTTCAACCTCATGTAGACAAAAACGTGCCCAGCCCTGGGCTCCTATTGTCTTCCTGAAATCCAGCCTGGAACACCACCCGTCTGTGCCCCAGAACCTGACAGCACAGCTTGCCCAGAACACACGCATGGCTGGAGCTGTCTCCTAAATGCTACTCCAAGGATCGGCTTTCCTGGTGTGCTGTCTGTACCTATTAGAGAAGAAAACGATGTCAAGAAACGGACGCAGCATCTCATCAAAGCCAGGTATTTTCTTTCTGCTCACCCGGAAAACTCGGACATTTATGTATTTTTCCACAACAGGTATTGAGTTACGTTTCCAGATCTTTGTAAATATTTGTTGGAGAACACATCTGGGATCGGGTCATGGTTCTTACCATGGCACTCAGCACAAGCCCTGTTGAAAATAATAGAGTATAGGGATCACACACACACACACACACACACACACACACACACACACACACACACACACACACACACACACACACACGTCAGTCTAGGAGAAAAACCAGACAGAATTGTATGCAAAAAAGAAGTGGGGACAGCGGGAAGAAAAGAGGAGGAAAAGAAGTTTGTTTTTTTTTTTTTTAAAAAAAAAAAAAGGAAAGAAAACGGGAGTGCAAGGAGGAATCGCCAATAAAGATGAACCCTACAAGAAAAAAAAAAGAAAGAAAGTGAGAGGAGAGAGGCTTGGGAAGAGACAAGAGGATGGGCCCCCAGAGAGTGGACTGGACTGGAGAAAGATGTAGGAGCTGGCCACAGTGGGGAGGGAAATCCCGCCCTCAGAGCTAAGGCAGGCTTGAGAATTCTGCCCGGGAAAAGGCCACAGGAAGGAGAAGCATCTGTCTCCCTCTCCTGCTCGCCAGTCTATCCGGTAGGACCGCGGGGCGCGTCTCACCTGGGCTCTCCGCAGCATCAGCGAGGCCGGCGGGTACCAGCTGCGGGGCGGCTAGCCTGCGCGGCTGAACTTGGCTGCGGAAGGAGCCCACGGGAGTCCAGGCCCCGCCTCGGGGGCGGGACCTTCAGGTCCCGAGCCCACAGGGTCCCCACCCCTGGCCCTTCTAGGCTGAGGAGGCACCAGGGACCTAGATCCCAAGCTCCACTCTGCGGAACCGACGTTTCACACCTCGCCCGCAGGCTCCGGAGCCTGACTGGCAGCCAGGAGCTCCAGGCTCAGTCCTGCTGTGTTTGGAAGTGATGTCTTCTGTCACCTCTGAGCTGTTGCACAGTGCACTTCAAAGTCTAGGCTCTTGAACCCTCCTGGCCCTGGCCGCGGTGGCAGTTTGGTGGCGTGCAGGCTGCCTGAGATGCCCAAGGACCCCTGTCTGCGCTCAAATCGCTTTCCGCTAACCTCCAGGAAAGCCGCCTGAGCGGCAGCTGCGGTTTCACAGCGCCCTCCTGGCCTTCGCTGGAGTACCAGCTGCCTCCCTGCCTTTCCAAGTTGTGGATGGCAGCAAGGTCCCTGCCTGTCATCAATCATCAGGTGTACCTGGAAGGAGGGTAGAGTGAGGCAGAGGGAGGGTCCCTGTGAGCGAGATGGCTGAGAATGGGTGTCCATAAGGCCATGTCCTGCAGGACCAGGGATTTTTCAGGGAAGATGGGGTAGAGCTGAGGCAGGGTGGTGCTTGACCAGTTGCAACACTCTTGTGTGTGTGGGGGCGCTGCTGTTTGAACCTTGGTTGCTAATCGTCTGGAAGTGGGTAGGGAAAGGAGACTCCTTCTGGGCTGAAAGGAAAACCCACCCAGCTCCCCAGCTGCTTCTCTCTCTCATTCATTGACACTATTGTGTTGAGGCCAGTGGGGATCCAGGATGCACAGAGATAAACAGAGGACTCTCTGGAGCCTTTCCCCGGGTTTGGGGAGTCTGTTATCAAAGTAAATGGGAGGTGGGTAAGGTTGGAGCTGCACATCCCTCAGAATCATGGGGCTTAGTCAATGATCTATTGCTGTGTAGAGACATCGTAACCATGGCCACTCTTATAAAGGAAACATTTAGTTGGGGGCTTTCTTACAGTTTTAGAGGTTCAGTCCATTATTATCATGGAGGGGAGCATGTTGGCAGGCAGGCAGGTGCTGGAGCAGTAGCTGAGAGCTACATCCTGGTCCTCAGGCAGAGAGATAGGCTCTGAGCTTGGCATGGGCTTTTGAAATCTCAAAGCCCACCCCCAATGACACACTTCCTCCAACAAGGCCACACCTCCTAATCCTTCTAATACTTTCAAATAGCTCCATTCCCTGGTGACTAAGCACTCACATATATGAGCCTATGGGAGCCATTCTTATTTAAACCACCCCAGTGATGTTCCCACAGCACATTTTATTTTTTAATAGAAAGGAGAATAACAATTAGGCACTTGACCAAAGCTCCAAGCACCCACACAGGCAATCATCAAGGTCAGAGAAATACATTTTAGAAGCCACTAAGCTCAAAACATGGATTACCCAGGAAGCATTGACTGTCAACTAGCCACACATTGCTCATGAACATCAGGCTGTAAGATCTTTGGGTGCCTTGGAAAACAATATACATATTTACAATTAGTGTCCACCTGCAGTGCTGCTCAGGAGTGAGCACAAAATGAAGATAGCTTCAGAGGGGCAAAGCCACCAATGTTGGTGGAAAAGCTAAGGAGTGCAAAGGAGCTGAAAACATGCTAAACTGGGTGAATGATACACATCAGCACCAATTTGTAAAGTTCTTTGAAAGGGAAGGAGGGAAGAAAAAAGGACTAGAGAAGAAGAAATAGGGTTCTGGCTGCAAGAACATTGTGACCAGGACAGAAGGGAATCTCAAGTTACTAGCATGGACCTGCTTCCAGATTGCTGGGCCCAACCATTGGCTAGTAGCAGCCTGGGAGGTGGTCTTCTTGATGGGGATGTGTCATAGAGTAAGGGAATGGGGTAGGTTCTAGTAATACTCCATTCCAGTTACACACACACACACACACACACACACACACACACACACACACACACACACGTGTGGGGGGAGATCTGAATGGTGACATTAAATCATACACACACACACACACACACACACACACACACACACACACACACAGAGGGGAGATCCAAATGGTAACATTGAATGACACACTCAGAAGGGCATATAAGACTCATTTCATCGAGCTGCATACACTTAAAAGACACAGACCTAATAAGAACAAGCAAAATTAAAACAAGAAGGGGTCATAAATGATACCCAGGGCAGGGATGGTGGGCAGAGCGAAAGAAATCATCTTCAACACTGGAAATAGTTCTTAGGGCTAAAGAGAACAAGTTCCCAGTGAAAAGGCTTCATTAACCAAGAAAACAACAAACATTCTAAACATGTATGCATCCATAAATAAAACAAATGATATCTAGAAAGGGGTAATTTATCCAATCCTCTATTACAGTCAAGAACTTCAATATAACATGTGCCAAATTTTAGAAGATTTAAACAGCAAAATAGTTACTAAGCTCTATTCAATTGGGCTCCCCCAAATCATGTGTTAAGATAAATTTCCAAAAAAAAAAACTTAAAAGAAAAAGTACTGTACAAATCAGGTTCTTTAGTCATAAATGCAAATAATGTGGAAATCAATGGCAAACAGAATGTTAAGCACACACACACACACACACACACACACAAAATTGAAAGCTTTAATACATACATATAATTATGTGTCTGAGGAAAAAAATCACTCAAAACAACACACACCAAAATTTTAAATATTCTATGAAAAAAGAAATGGGGTTTGTAACCCAAAAAGTTTATGTTAACTGAAAAGGAAAAAAATGAGCTAGAAATCTAACCAAATATATCAGAAAATGAATAGCAAAATAAATCTCAAGAAACTCAAAAGGAGTGATTTAAAAAGAACCATATATGTTAAATATAAACAAAAGCACAGTAGATCTTTACAGCCTGGACTCCAGAAGTTTCTATCATTGCAAAGGTCCAAGGCAGAACTAACACCAACAGACATAGGGCAGAAGCCATTTCAGATCACCGAGACCCCCATTTTGTCCCGGACAAGCAAATGCCTGCCCAGTCCAGCCTCCAAATGACTCTTGGGGAGCAACAGTTGCTCTCCTTGTCACTGTACCATCATCATAGAAGCTCAGGGACCCCCAGTTTCTACAGAACAGGTCAGACCAGTGTGATCAGACCCCATATCACAGCCCTGTGTGGCTGACTTACTTCCTGAAGGCCAGGAGGCCACTGTACGGCTTCTGGGTGCTGTACATTATCCTGGCCCCATCTGGGTCTTTGATACTGCTCAGCCCACTGGCTCCAGAGACTGTCTCCTCAGCCCTCTGGGCAGCCCACCAGGGCCTACGCAGAGACTGCTAATGCCGCTGTGGCTTCTCCCTGCTGCTCAGAGCATCTTGCCTTTGCTGCCCTAAGCATTTGATTGCTGCCCATCCCAACAGGAGCCTAATCTGTCTAGGTGTGGAGCTGGGTAGAGTGGACTGGCCCTTAGGCCCTTCCTGGCTGTCAAGGGAGAGAATGTAGACTGGATTTGAAAGAGTGGCCTGGATTTTTTCCTTCCTGAGCAAGCTGAACCACAGCAGTAGTGCAGCCAATAGAAGGTTAAGGAAGTCCTGTGTCAGCATCCGCCCAACACCCCAGGCTGTCGGTGTCCTGGATGGGGTGCACACAGGATGCTGAAGGCATCTGTTGGTGACAAGACAGAGGCTTTCTGGTCAGGTCTCCTTCGGCTACCCTTGGTGTATCCCCTCTCACCTTTCTCCTTCTTCTTGGAAATCATGGTCCTAGGCTTCAGCTCCCAAGCCAGGCCAGCAATCTCCCCTTTGAAAGAGAATTCCATCCTCTGCTTAGCCCAGGGACAACCATCTGAGAAGCCCGAACAGATCTTGACTCATCAATGACTAAGCTAGCACAGGTGGGAAGGGGGAGGGTGAGTTTTTGGAAATGACAGCCTCCTTGGGCCAGTTCTTCCAGAGAGCGCCTGTGAGGCCAAAGGATATACTCAGTAGCCACCCTATTACCTGTCTATGTCTTACCTTCTGTAAGGAAGCCTGCTGTGAGGTCCAGTGGGACTAAGTCATGCCCTGGGATGGATGGGAGGACTGTTGACCCAAGTGAAGATGTGAAATATCTTCAAGCTACATGAAGGCACCCTGGGCACATCTTACGTGACATGCTACAGGGCAAAGGCATTCTAAAGCCAGGAAGTGCTCTGCTAAGTAAGCCATGGCCACTAGTCAGACTGACGGAGACAGTTCCTCAGCTGAGGTCCCTTCTTTCCAGGTGATTCTAACTTCTATCAAGCTGATTTAAAAAATCTAACCAGCACAGGTTCTCACAGGCACTCTGGAAATGAGTCCGAAAATGGGACCAGATGGAAGTTCTGTGTCCTCCAAGAGGTTAAGCACACAGATGCAGGACCCATAGTATAGCAGCTCAAGATCTACAGTGTAAGCAGCTGCTAGCTTCTTCTGTCAGCACCGGTGTGCCTAGCAGCTGGGTAGGCACATGGACACAGTTGGGCAGGCTGGATGGTTGAGCACACAAGGCACAGCTCTCACGGAGCGTCTATGATACTGACGAAGGACACAATACATATTTGTCTCCTCCAGAGAAGTCCAGAGAACCCTCTGAACTCTGCTGGACTTAGAGATGGCATGATGGATCTGGAAAGAGAAGTCTTGGTCCTGAAGAGGCCTTGCCTCCCTCTTGGACCCATCTAAGACAGGGGTAGCCTAAAACTAGAGACCAGGATCACAGGATTCAACAGATGAGAAATTCAAATGCTTTCCTTTATGAAAACTGAAGGAAGGAGACTAAGCCGGTCTTTTTAACTCAAAATTTGGGAGAAAGGGGGTTTTACAGAAAATTTTCCCTTCGGACAGATAAAGACAGAGTCGTCAGAAATAACAGTGGCCCTTGTCTAGTCACATGATGCTAGAGAGCCCTGTCCTGTCCTGCAGCAGAATCACATCTCAAGAAGTAGAGCATCTCCCTGGGAGACAGATTTATTAATGAGCAGCAAGTTCCAATCTACTATTTCTTTTATTAAAATCCTCACCCTGATACACAGGGCCCAGCAGCCAAGCCCTCTCAGCCTTGGCTCTGTGGCAGCTGAGAGGTTCACTCAGTGGGCTGGAGTGACCGTGGGACTCTGGAGAGAGGGGGTGAGCAACTGCAGCCTGGACGGAATCCTGGAGCAGCTGCCTGGGAACTGGCTGCACTGAGAGCAGGAGGCTAGAGGCAGACACTCGTGGCTGGGTGGCAGGATGGCCTTGGGGCCACAGGAGTCCTGAGCACAGAGGGCCTTCAGGAGAGCAAAGCTGATGCACGGCTGCTGCAGGGAAGAGGAGAGACAGAACACTGAGATACCACTGCAAGCAGGCCCTGGAAGCTGTGGTTGCTTGGTTGGGTGGCGGGAAGCACCACAGCACTACAGGTTAAGCTTGGGTCCTACCCACCCACTTGTACTTTCCTTCTAGATCTGCTGCAGGTAGCAGAATGGTGTGGAGACCAGGAAAGAGCCGCAGGTTCTGAGAAACTTTGTTTTTGTGTGCCTTACGCAGCAGAAGGATTTCTGTGAACGCGATTAAGGATTTGGGGGTGGGGAGCCATGCTAGAGATGTGAAAGGAGCATATGCAAACCCCAGCAGCAGACAATGCCAGGGTTGGTATGGGCAGGGGCCTCCTGGAGGGCTCTGCCTTGCTGGCTCTGTAGGTAGAGAAAGGGCCTAACACTATGGAAGGCTGAGGCTTCATCTCCAGAGGCCATAAAGGGCAAGGACTCTTCCACAACCTCACAAGCATGGGCTCCTGGAAACAACTTGAGTTTAGCTCACTGAAGTCAATTCTACACTTCAGTGTGCAGTCTGTACAAGTACAAGGGGCCACGCATGCTCTGGGGCAGGAAATAGGGGTGAGTTCAGGACTATTAACAGGTCGATTGAACCATCCAAAGGGAAGGGCATTGTTTTCTCACATAGGAGATGTAAGGAAGCCAGATGGGGGATAAACAGATGCTTCTCATTACACCTGCCTCTCAACCCAGTGAGACAGAGGTCTCTATCTCACTCTATGCCCACCCCGCTGAGGTCTCTATCTCACTCTATGCCCACCCCCACTGTGCACAGTCCTGGGATTGCCCCCCCCCCCCGCCCCACCCGCTGCCACACACTCCAACCTGGAAGCCCGGGCCCACACAGACACGATTCGCTCCACATTTGCCTGTATGTCCCTCTGCCAGCTTCTTGTGCCCAGGTAACCGTCTGAAGAGTCTTTATTAGGCCTTTTACAAAAGGCTCCCATGTCGCTCACTCCAAGTCAGACCGGAAGGGCTGCTGCTAGGCCTACCGCTGACCTGCTTGCTGTCTGTGTAACTCAGCTCTTAAAGGGGTCGGCAAAATCAAATGCTGTCAAGTAACCCTACGTCCATTTACCCTCTTCACAACAGCGAGTGGATTTTGCTAAGGGGTACAGGGTGCTCAGCGAGGAAGTAATGTGTCCCAAGGTGGTTATGGGAGTGAGCTCCAGCAAGTGGAACGTAGACAGGAATTGTTGGGTAGTGTTTTTCAAAAAAACCCCTTTACACTCTTCCCCCCTCTTTCTCCTCAGGATACTGTTGTGTTTATCAGAGCATGAGCAGACACTTTGTAAGGGGCTATAATAATTCATGAGTCTGATCAACTGAAGAATTGTTAGGCCTACCTGTGGGGCTAACACGAAGCCGTTTAGATAAAACTTCTTGGTGGCACTAAACTTTCTCAAGCCAGTATCTTCCAAAATGAAGCCTCTTTCAAAATTCCCTTCTCTTTGTACTTTTTTTTTCCAAGATAGTGTTTTTTCTTTGTGTAGCCCTGGCTGTCCTGGAACTCACTCTGTAGACCAGGCTGGCCTTGAACTCACAGAAATCTGCCTGCCTCTGCCTCCTGAGTGCTGAGATTAAAGGTGTGTGCCACTGCCTGGCTCTCTTTGATATTCTTATGTATTTTATAACACAGCTTAGAGACCTTATACATAAACCCATGGGAGCCTCTACTCACTTCTTCAGACATTGCTCTCTGCCATATGTCACATTCCCAGTTCCAGAGCAGCCATGGACCTTGGACTGGAGAAGGCAAAGGGCACTCTTTTCCACTTTTCCTCTAGGCTCAGGACAGGATTCACACCCTGCTCTACCAACGACTGCCATGCACACCATAAACTGGGCAGCCAGAGTCCAGAAAACATCATTAGGATGAGCCAGACCTGAAGTAGCCCTGTAAGAGTGACCTTAGTCACCTCCCCTGCACCCACACAATAGCTGGGCACAGTCGTGTATGTTCTTAACCCCGCAACTGAGTAAGGCTTAGGCAGATTCCGTGAGATCACTGGCAAAGCAGTCTAGTAGAAACAGCAAGCTACAGGTTTAATAAGAGACCCTGTCTCAAAAATTAAGGGGCGAACAGTTGAGGAAGGCATGCATTATTGACTTCTGACCTCCATTTGTTCACATACACAGGCAAGAATGCCTGCTTATACATGTGTATGCACACGCTTGAGCACACACACACACACACACACACACACACACACAAAGGAATTTTACTGCCTGGTAAATGGGGTCACTATTGCTCAGACAGCACGGTCAGCTATGGCCAAAGTGACCAGCCATTGACTTCATAGAGGCTCTAGGAGGCTCATGAGTACCAGGTCTCATGTCCTGGGAATTCTTCCTCAGCTCATGCTAGGACATGATTCTGAGCCACAGTCCTAGAAGGCATCTGTCCCAGGCAAAAGAAGTTGCCATTCTGCCCCTTTGGAGTGGCCTTGGGGCCCACTCACCTGGTCATCAGTCTGAGGCCACATCAGTGGCAACTGGTGGCAGCTTTGGGGGTTGAAGTTGCACACGGTCACATTGCCCTGAAAAACAGAATCATGCGATCATGAGGAAGAAGCAGGGCATGGACTCTGCCTGAGAAGGCACACAGGTCCTTGTTCTAGGACTCTGTGCTCGAGGAATTCTGAGAAGGAGCCCAAGTGTGCTCCTGGAGAGAGGAGCTTACAGCGTTGAGTGCCTGGGACCACCACTGTGAGACACAGTTTAAGAATCTGGGATGAGACAACATAGGTCTCGGTGGGGAGAGAAGCTGGCTTTGGAGAAGTTTAGAGGCTGGAGGGGTGTGTGTTGGCAAGCAGAGGCCTTTAGGGGAGCCATGATGTGGACGTAGACCTGGAGAAGGGCCGCACAGGAGAGGCAGGTTAAGCAGCCTGTGTCTTGCTCAGCGACACAGACCAAGGCAGAAATATAGAGAGCAGAAGGGCCTGAGCTCTAGGGGTTGGGAACCCTACAAGCTCAGCTCTAAAGTTCAGACTCAATAGGCCTGGTGCGGTAGGTGGGGCCAGGCCCTGCATGCTAGGCTAGGCCCAGGGCCAGTAGCCTTCTCTTCCGCTGGAGAACTTGTGTTGACTTCTCTTCGTGCCATTGGCAGGAGATAGGTGGGACTGGGTCTCAGCTAGCCTGCGAGGCTGCAGAGGAACTAAAGCTTCCAGAAGGAAGCAGGGATCATCACAGAGGCGGGACCAAGGAGGAAGAGGACAAATCCAGGAAGAAACCAGAGACGAGACCCCAAGCCGCTTCCAAGCCAGCTTTTCCCTCCTTCAGACCTGGACCTCCTAGATGAAAGAAGACGTGGAGGACAGCTGGTCTGGGACCCTCCTGCATGCTCTCCTCCCTAGGATAAGGGAGGGACTACATTTGCTTGTTCTCATATACATATCAGTTCAGATCCTGTGCCCGAGAGTTGCATCCTCCAGCAACCAGGCAGGCTGGAGTCACAGACCACCCCCCACCCCCACCCCACCCCACCCCCGGGGCCCTCTCACCTCCGCGTCTCTGCTCACAGACAGGCTACCACAGGTACAGCAGCAGATGATCACAATGGGGGGTGGATTTCCAGGTGGTGCTGGAGGAGACACTGGAGGGGGGGGCTGTTTCTTCTTTGGGGGCTGATAGGAGAGAGAAAAACCTGTCTGATCCTTGTCTGTGCTTTTCACAGCGCTTGGCACTGTGGGGCCACTCAGCTCTTGTTTTTGGGTGAAGGGAAGAATGTAACCCACACCTTCGGGAGGTCTTCCATGGAGAGAAAAGCAGGGAACTCCCTCCCCACAGTTTTCGGAGTAACAGCTTCTCAAAGTATTGACAACCCACTTCCTAGGTCAGCCTGGTGGGCCCAAGCCTGGCCTGGTTGCCGTACTGTAAGCCAGCACCAGCCAGGTAACTGTCCCTTACATCTGCCTCTGGCCTTTGCACAGGCATCCTCACCCAGGCCACTCTGCAGTCGGCACAGTCACGGCAAGATGGGGAGGCTGTTCCTATCCCAGCCCAAACCCAGGCTCCACCTGCCCCAGCCTCTCACTATGACTTCTGGTCCTCACCCGACTTGAGCCACAGATGCTCATTCACCTAGTTCCTGTGCTTCCCTGGGGACATCCCTCACAGCCCAGGGCCAGCTGGGACTCCTTCACCCTCCTTATCTAACCTCAGGTCTTTAGGCAGATCCCAGCCAACCCCTCTACCCTGCCAGGAGACAGGGATGAAGACAGATCTAACGGAGCAAGAAGACCTCCAACATGGGGATGGGGACCAGGACTTGACACAGAAGTCTGTTCTCAGGAACTGAGCTGCAACCTCAGCATCAAACAGAGTCCTTTGAGGTCCCCTGAAAACCACGGAGTCTGTAGATAATAGCTGCTCATGCTGAAACAGTGCCGCATGGTGCTGATTGTGTGGCCAAGGCAGGAGATCCTAAGAGTCTTTGACTGATGTCACCGTGAGCCCCTTCGTAGGCCCTTTGAAATGCTCTACCCTTCTTCCTTCCTGAGTACAGACAGGTCTTTGATGCCTCTTTTGAAGGTCATTGTCCTTAGGCATGTGACAGTATCCGCATCCAAAGCATGACTTACCTGTGGTTGGGGCTTAGGCAGGGGCAGCTCCTCAACAGGCTGGAGGGTAAAACAGACAAAAGAAGCTGGTGTGTATAAAATGGGCTCTGCCTCAGCTCAGCAGACAGGGTAAGCTGGTCTGCAGCAGGGATGCACATATCCTGGAATGGGTGTGGGCGCTCAAGCCTGTGCTGCCGTGCGCAACGGGCCCCCCCGATCTGCTGGAACCCCCACCCTTCTCTGCAGTTGGGAGTGATGAGCCGGGTCAAGGTGCTGATCCTGGAGAAGCCCAGCCACTAAGTGCTGCCTACCTGCCGAGCCCCACCCGCGTCAGAGCCCACACTCCTTCCCTTCCTCTAAGAGAAGCCCAGGGTCTTGCGGTCTCCCCTGACCTCCGGGCTCCTATTGGCTTTCTCTACTATCTGCTCCCCTGGATAGAGATGGGGCCTGACAGTTCTGTCTATGTGCTCTGCCGTCCCCAGGGTCATGGTGCTGCCTTGCGTCTATGCCTCTTGAACGGAGGGCGTGCTCCTGGGCCCCAGACTGAGCAGGTAGGGGCACTCACCGGAAGGCAGCACAACTGCCAGAAACAGCCAGTCAGTAACAGAGTCAGCAGCAGGGCCAGGAGTATAGGAGCAAAAATGAATCTGTCGATGCTTGGCTTCAGTTCCTTTGTGACCAGCGGGGTGGTGGGGATGGTGGTTGTTGGTAGAGTCGTCGTGGTACGCGGGATCGTCGTGGTGGTCGTTGTGGTGGTGGTCATTGTTTTAGTTGTGAGTTCCCTAGTGGTGGTGGCTTCGTCTGTAGTGTAGGATTTTCCCTGGCATAGAGAAAGGTTATATGCCAACCACTGCCAGAAGCACATCCCGCAGAGACCAAGGGCCATGGTGGAAGGCCCTCCTAGATATCTGCAGCTTGGCTTCTCATCCTCTTTCTTATTCCTGGGCTTCTCAGAACTGATGGGTCATCAGGAGATTCTACCTCTGGCCCTGCTCCAAGGCTTTTGCCAAGGTAAGGATGGCCCAGGATTCTCCGTGGTCTGAGGATCACAGCCTTCACTATGGCTTCAGCTGACAGGGCACTAGGCTATGGGTGACCAAATCTCTGGGAGAGGCTACAAGACCTCTCTTCCCACTTCCCAACTCCACAGCCTGGTGCTCACCCTTCTCCCTCTGAGACCCATCTTGTGACCTAAGCAGTGCCCACCCTCATGGGCACTTAGCAAGGTCAGAGTTCACAGTCTTGGCTCAGGCTCAGGCCACAGAACTTCAGGACTGGGACTACTCTCCCAGTTGCCTCCTAGAGTAGGCTACAGCCTGTCCAACCCTACTGAGTCAGAGGCCTGCTAAGAGCAAAGGCTGTAGAAATCGCTGGGAGAAGGTGCCCGGGACCCCGTGATGCTTGGCTGGAAGCTGAGACCATTGACTGGAAGATGTAACAACAGCTGCTGCTGGGGGCTGAAGACATGGGGCTTCTCTGCTTCAGTACTTATGTCCGGGAATGTTAGGTGGTGAGTGCCTACGGGGCAGAAATCTGAGTTCATCCTCCCAACTTATGTGTGGAGGTGAGAGATGAGCCAGGCAAACCCGAAGATGCCACTCAACTCTGAGGGGTTCTTATAAGCGGAGAGAAACCTCCTTTTCCTTGACACCCTCTCCTGTCACACTGCACTAGGCTCTGTTGTCACCAAACAGGCTTAAGGGCAGGGGGTCTAGAGTATGTGTAGGGCAACATTAGTGTCCAGGGCTCCATTTCTTTGTCACATACACCCTTATTGCAGTGGTGGACTTTTGTATTCCTGAACCTGGGACACCCCTGTGGAAGGGCTACATGCCCTAGACTTCATGGACAGGCCCTGGCAGACAGCTTGGTGCATGCCTCACTGGCCCTTCTGGAAACTGGGCTGGGTCACATAAGTTGTTTGTGTGTATAAGCTGCCCTTGGGGCCTGCCTGGAACCTCTCTGCCCCTTTGACCTACTGGATAGACCTGCACCAACCAGAGGGTCTGTGCAGATGGGGTCCCAGCCCCACCCTGGTACTCACACATAGCTTGCTGGCAACAAATAAATTTTTATTCAGGAAGTTTCTTCCATTGTCCAGGCTGAGTAGAACATGGATCACTCTAACACAGAGACAGACACTGAGAAACAGCCTGGCCACAAGGACCTACCAAGAAATAACCCCAGTTCTTCTCATGGTCATACTAAATCTCAGACACTCCAAACTGCTGCAGAGTGGACTTGTGGGTAAAGAAAGGAACTAGGAGTGAACCTCTGAATGACAGTGAAGGGCTGCAGGTTAGACCATGAGAGGCACCTACAATCCATGGCCTTTGAGCTAAGGCATTGAGCTAAGGCATTAGGGAGATGGGCATGGAATCACCATGCTGGCTTGTACCAGAGAGATGATCAGAGAAGATGTTGCGGCCCTCAGTACCATCATCTCCTGCATCCCACCCTCAGTAAAGCCTGAGCACTGTGCACCACTCAGCACCATGGGGGCCACCGACAGGGCCAGGCGGGAGGGTACTGGAGCCCAGCTGCAGGCAGACAGGTGCTCTACAGCAGAGGGACATCTTAGATTCCACACTATATTGGTAAACACTGATCTCTTCCCTCGAGGCCTCCAACAAGGGGCACTTACTTTCCTGGTTCCTCTACGATCGGTCCAGGACAAGTAACCGTAGTCTTGGTTAGATTGAAGGCTTTTACATCTAAAAGAAAAAGACAAGAATGGCCAACAGATGTGTCCCTTCTACCATTGTTGCCCTCTACCTGCAGAGCTGACCAATAAGCAGCAATCTCCTCTCTACCTTCTTCAATCCAAAGACTGTTGGTGGACCCCAACTCTGCCAGCATCAAAGAGCACTCTGGTGCCTGGTAGAAGCAGGCAGCAAGAGCCCTTGCACCTCAGGGCTTACCTACTGGGGACTATGATCACCTTCCCCTTTCATAACCTAAGTACACACACACACACACGCACTTTCACACACACACATACACACACACACACACACACACACACACACACACACACACACACACCTCTGCGCTCGCGCACGCGCGTGTGGGTGGGGAGATTATACTTGTGAGAGAAAACATGTAGCATTTGTCTTTCTGGATCTGGCTTATTTTGCTTAACATGATGATCTATCCATTCTCCTGAAAAGCGACATGATTTTATTTTTATTTATAGTTGAAAAAATCCATTGTGTCTATGTTTATTTAGGATAAGTATGGGGATAGTAAACAAGAAAAAGGACTCAGACAGGGCAAGGGGAGAAAGGGACTTTTGAAATAAATGAAAAGATAAATAATTAGAGGAGTGGAGAAGAAAACTGTGAACAAGGGAGAAGAAAATAATTGGAGACTAGTAAGAAGAGAAAAAACAAGCAAATTTTCCAATAATGAGAAAACCGGAAAACAAAATTACAATTAAATGTAAGGAGGAAAATAAAAATTAAATCATGAAAAATATGTCATGCCAGGTGGTGGTGGCTCTTGCCTTTAATCCCAGCACTCGGGAGGCAGAGGCAGACTGATCTCTGCGAGTTCAAGGCCAGCCTGGTCTATAGAACGAGTTCAATGATAGCCAGGACTGTTACACAGAGAAACCCTAACTCAGGGAAAAAAAATTTATATACATGTTGTGGGGGGGGGGGCTTTAAAAATGACATAAAAGTATTCCTAAAACTGCAGTAGAAAGGGAAAACAGGCCGGGCAGTGGTGGCGCACGCCTTTAATCCCAGCACTCGGGAGGCAGAGGCAGGCGGATCTCTGTGAGTTCAAGGCCAGTCTGGGCTACCAAGTGAGTTCCAGGAAAAGGCGCAAAGCTACACAGAGAAACCCTGTCTCAAAAAACAAAAAACAAAAAACAAAACAAAACAAAAAACAAAAACAAAAGAAAAAGAAAAAAAGAAAGGGAAACCAGAAAAGCAAAAAGACTGTCTGCTACCCAAGACAAAAATCTATAGGCCACTAAGGGATTCTGAGAGCAGGAGGGTAAAGGAGTCTCCCTGTGGAGGAGCCCTACCTGATTGTCCAATGCCAAGGGCTCAGGCTGGAATCATGTACGTGCAACAGTGAATGGGTTCAGTAGGTCTATCTATTCTATGTGTGACAATAACAAAGAAGAGGAGGCTAGGGATTTGAGAGGGAATGGGGCCTGGGGAGATAGGAGAAGTTTGAAGAAGGAAAGGAAAGGAAATTATAAAATGAGGAATAAATTAAAAGGTTGTCTAATAATACAAATATATAAGAATTAGATGAATGTAGGGCAGGGAATAAAAAATAAAAACATGACTTTTTCTTGCATATAGTAAGTTTAAAAGAATATTGGTAAAAGTGCCAGCGAAGGAGGTGGCATCCCAGGTATCTCTGCCAGGGCTCTTTTCACTTAGACACACTACCTAGGTGTCCAGCAGGACAGTCAATGAGGGTGGAGAGACTTGACTGAGAGAAGTGACCCCACTTACCTTTGAAACTCATATCAATGTCACTGAAATAGAACCTGCAAATAACCTCTTCTTGACGCATGGCAAAGTCAAAGCCATATCCACGAATTACCACTGGGTTTGATTCTGTAAAGACAATGTTCAAACCGTGAGGAGAGCTGGGGGCTTCATTCTCTCGGATCTATCTTTTCATGACTCTCTGCTCCCTAAAATGGAATTTCAAGGTGGCCTCCAACAAGGGAGAATCTCTGTGTGAGCCAACATCCATATTGGTTCCTGCTTGCTGACACTCTTCCTCACAGCAGTGGAGATGCTCTCTGACACTGAAGACCATATACAGGAGACACAGAGTAGGCGGCAGGCTGGCTGTTCCCACAGGAGCCAGAAAGGATTTCCTCAGCCTGTGCCCTTGCCCAGCTGCCTCAGGGCCCAGATACAGCCCATCCCTGTACCCTGTGCACTTCAGATGCCCAAAGGTAGCTGACCAAGGACTCTCCTCCATCTTCAGACTCCAGGAACACAGGCTGACTCAGTGCTAGCCATAAGAAACAGCCCATTTGGCTTCACTTGGGGTGCAACATCCTGCCTTGGGCTTCCCTCCAAAAAACAGGCACTCTGTATGTGGCAGGTTCGCACAAGATGGCCAACAGTTCAACGGGTCTGTGGTTGAACTGATGTCTGGAGGTACCTGTCTGATTGGAGATAACTCATGTTTCCGTCTGGGGTTTGTCACAGTTGCCCAGACACCAAGGCATCTTTGTCCGTGGGACAATCAGAAACACGAGGGAAGGCTGCATGACTGGGCTCCTTTACCCAGAAGTAGAAGAGAACCTGTGAGGAAGGAGGCTTCTTCTCTGCACTCTTCCACACAGCAATCTCCTCTCTCTTACACAGCACGGGGAAGGCCAAGGGGCAGAATGGAGCCCAGAACCAGAATAGAAACAGCATCATCAGGTTCTGTCTTTAGCACCTACCATCTTCTGGAGGCTGTCACCTCTCTATCCAGTCTCTAATCTCATTGACAGCCTGTGCATGCCACTTCTTTCTAGCATAGTCCTGTCTGCCCAAGCCTAGAGCCCTGGGGCTCTGTGGGAGGACACAGATGTCAAGATCCAGCTGCCGAGACTGAAGGAAGCAGAGCAACCCAGGCCTCCCGGTCCTGCCTTCTTTTGCAGGACACAAAGGCCAGCCATAGGGTGACCAAGCCTGAATGCACCATGATCGTGGCAAAGAAAGGCAGCTTTCTCCCAAGACCAGACACATGTGTGACCTCTGTAAGCTGACCTGGGGAGGCTGGAATAGACAGAAGGCACCCCTGTCAGCTCCAGTCCTTGGGGTCAGGCATCTACCATTTCAGTGCTGAGGTGAAGTGAACATGGCTGTCTTTGCAGATATTTTTGTAGGCACAAAGAGTCCCTCATGCTTCTAGTAACAGAGTGGATACCCTCTGCTCCCAATTCTTTCTCTTTATTCCTCAGTGTGACCGACCTGCTACTGTCCTCATTTCGTGAGTGTTCAGTGGTTGACTTTTCTGGAAGTTACCAAGCTTCTCTGGATGTACTGGTGGCTCCATCTAGGTTTCATTGAAAGTTTTGTACCCTTTTCCTAGCTTAACAATTACACTTTTGTTATGAGATAAATAAGCAGTAATTGTACACATAATGCTATGTCATCACACCATGTACCTTCCAAATGTACATTGCGCTATACCCAAATCATAGCCACCCCATGCGTGTTCATCCCTCACACATACACATTCCACACTTACCCATATTTTAACATACATGTGGTCCTTGTTCACATAATGTATCCAAATATACATATCATGTACCATATGCACAACACAAAATCTATACATAAAGACACATTATATAATAACACAAGAACACATACACACAGAATATACACCCATATAAACCACATGCACACAAAACTTTACACACCATCCAGAAGCTGATATGCATTCATACTCATTGTATGCATATCACCCACACACCACAAACACATGCATGCACACACAACACATTTGTCTGCCTACAACAGTCCCCTCAGCTCTTACCTCTTATACATATAATCGGTGTATCTAAAGACTTAAGGGATGGACAGGCCTTGGAAGCTAGCTGGAACATGGAGAGCAGTAAACAAGGTCAGAAAATTAAGCTTCAGGAATCCTGTGAGGTGGCCCGCCTCTGCCTGTACCCATTGCACTCACTGGGAAAATGAGGTCATTCAGATGATCGGCTTTCGTATTTGGAAATGCATTTTCTGGTTTGTCTGCAATTCCTACTATCTAAAAGAGAGAAGTGACTTGAACATCCAGCCAGGAGCCATTCGATTCAGTCATGGCTCAGACACTGGCTTCTGCCCATAGCCCAGGCTTTGAAAAAGGCAAGTTCTCTGGCCACCCATCCACCCAGGGGAAGAGTCTGTCAGGTTCGCCATACTGCTGCAGTGGCCACCTGTTGCCCAAACCACCGGGGTAGATGAGATGACCACCTCTGGGCGGAGGGTTGCTTTAACTGGATTCAGAGGGGCACCTGGTCACCTAGACAGTTACCTGATCTTTCTTAGAGCTGCCCACACCCACACTGTAAACAGACGCTCCCATCCTCCGAGCTTTGTCAGCCTAGGAGAAAGACAAGAGCCACATATAAGCCACCAACGCAGAGAGCAAGGAAGAGATGCAGCTGAAGATGGCTGGGCTCACCTCTTCCACTGAATACTGATAGGCATCATCATCCAGAGGGCTGTTGAGCAAGGAGATGATCATGCTGGGGCGATAGACACCTGCAGGGAAGCAAGAGTGATTGGGTGCTTGAGGTTCCAGGGGAGGCCCGCAGAACCTCTGGGACCCCCACAGGCTGTTGAGCCCAGCACTACCCAATGCAGGCCCAGTTTCCTCATCCCCTTAGCCACTTGGGTCAGGAGCCCAGATCCAGAACCAACCATTCAGTGATCCCCAGAATGAGAAGGGACTATGTTCACTACCTAGTCTACAGATTAGGAGGCAGAGGGGTCAGGAGCAGTCCAGAGAGGTTGATTTGGCTATACCCTCAGGGAAATCCAGTCTCTACTCAGCCTGTCCATGAGGCTGAGCATGCCGAGTGAAGAGGGTGGAAGCTGGTACTAACTCTGGGCACAGCCCTGAAGATGTCCTATTGGTAACAGTGGGCCCAGTAATCAGGACTATGGGTCAACAGGTGTTAGACAAGGGACTCCACATCTCAGCATCTTTCCCCATCTGCTCCTACCTATTCCAGACAAGTGCTGTGGGCCTACACTCAGGGGCATGGGTCCTACTATGCATTGCCCCTTGTACTGCCTGACACAGGGATGCAAGAGACAGGTTAAGAAAAAAGAACTGGAAAAGGAAGATCTGGCAGCCAAGGGGACACCAAACCCTGGTTCCCTGCATGGATCACTGTACTCATCTCCTTTCTGTTCACAGGGCCATCTACAGGACAAAGACCTCAGCATGATCGAGGCTCACACATAGCCATATGGGGCCTCCTACCCTTCTCAGAAACATCACAAACACAGTGCTCACAGAGGCCTGAGGCCCAGAGAAGGGGCCATGAGACAAGCACTGGACGAGGCCTGAGGACCTGCCCGTGGCCTTTCCAGGGAATCCCGGCTCTGTGGGGACCCATCCAACAAAAGTGCAGGCAGCTCACCTCCTGGGTATGTCTTTCTTATCTGCCTATGTGCCTGCAAGGAAACAAAGAAAAACGGGAGACGTTGTGAGGTGACCCCACAGTAGTGGACACATAGGTGGCTCTAGCCCTCCACACCTTCCTCAGTCCTCGGTAAAGGTGTTCATGTCCTGCCAGCACGCTATACTTCAATCTTTCAACACCCTTAAGGATTTCTTCTCTGAAAAAAAAAAAAATCAAAAACAAAGGTGACATGAAGACTATGGACAGTGACAAGACATCCCCAAGCTTTCCCTCTGCCTTTCTCTGTCTCTGATCCCATGAGCACGAAGGCAGCTTGGACAGGGGTAGGAGGACGGGGAAGGTCTCAGTCAGCGTCAAAGCCAAGAACTCTCATGGGGGCCCACATTCCTAACTGGAACCCTGATGCTGAGGTCACCCTCCTGAGCAGTCTATTACTCGGTGGGTAGGGCTGAAGAGGGCCATGTCACCAGCTGAGTCACTGCCCAGCTCCCGTCTTCCCTGTCACGGAGTCCTGGCATGACTTCTCCTCCAGTCTGCTAAAGGCAGCGGCCAGTCAGTCTACTTAGATATGAGCCCAACTGTGGACTCCACAAGCTCCCGACAAAGAAGCCTGAGCCTGGGAGTTGGGCCCTGAGGCTGTCCATGAGGCGACTGCGTTGCTTCCTAAGCTAGAAGCGACATGGCCTGTCAGGTGCTGTTAGGACAGATAGAACTGACTGAGGCAGGCAGGCCTGGGTCTGCTAGCTGTTCTGGGACAGGGAGTGGGGTATGAGGATAATCCAGTGTGGCAAAAATGCACAGACACAGCAGGATGACTAACAGGGGACTCTAAGGTGGCTTCCTGTTGGGGAGAAAGAGATCTTGCCATGAGCTGAGCTCTGAAGACCTTATTCCTGGCCCAGCCTAGCCTAGGAAGTATGAGGGTCACACCCATTAGGCCCAGTGGGATCAAATCACAGTCTGCCAACCCCAGCCCAGCCCCCACCCATGTGCCCAGCCCCTACTGACTCTCTGGGCTTCCTGTGGGAAGCCTTCCCATAGATGTTCTCTCTGCCACTCAAACCCGGTTGGGTTTCTCCAAACCCACGCCACAGGGCATATCAGATCTTTCCTGGACTCTTGGAGCCGACACTCATGTTCCTTTCCCCAAGTGAACTGGAGCTGTCATCTCCATAGGTGTGGGACACATCCTGTTTCACCCCCAGGCCCTGGACAGGGCTTTCCTAGGCCTCTGCACACCCCTAATGCTAAACGTCATGCCTTTCTCGCTCTGTTCTTCTTGCTCTGGATGGAGTTCCAGGCTAGGCATCTAAAGCTCTTCCTCCCTGAAGCTCCCAACAACATCCTTTCGCTGGTACTCCGGGGACAAGAGGGTCACCTCCCTCTGTGGGTACCTGCTCCACATATTTGCCTGTAGTGTACAGGCCAGCCTTGGACTCTTGCTTCTGCCCTGGGATTCCCCCTTCCCAGAGTGGGCCTCAGCTGCCTTTCTCTGGACTCCAGAACCTTCCCCTGGCTCCCAGCTGTCTCTCTGTCCCACTGACCCGGGCAGAGGATGAGCAGGTCCATCAGGCTCTGTACAAGCCTGGGCTGTTCAGGGGATCCACATATCCTCTGCCCTCCTCAACCCCGTGTGTTGTCATAGCCAGGTCCCAGAGAAGAGTCAAGAGTGGTGGAAGACAGACAAGCAAGAATGTTGAAAACTTCTGGAAGCACCAGTTTATGGGTTCCAGTGATGCAGGAATTCAAGGGCCTGGCAGGCTGAAGTTAGTAGTGAATATCAGTATCCAGGCATGTGGCAACAAGCCACTGTAGACACCGTAGGAGCCCTCATGGAGGTCTCTGCAAGCCCTCAGTTCCACGGAGGCCTGAAACACCACTCCTGAATCAGCTTTCACATAAACACTTACCTGTCTCCAGTGAGGGGTAGGATGACGTTGCCCTTACAGGAGTAGGTGATGATGGACACCCGCAGATCCTGGCTGGGAGGAAGCAGGTGTTTACGAGAAGCCACCACCTCAACATGATGTCATCAAGATGTCAAGGAAGGTACTTATACAAAATTCTCTTTTCCCTCTTCTCCTCACTTCCCCTTTGAGGCCTTATCTAGTAGGCAGAGGATGTTGAGTAAATTTCATGAAAGATTCTGAACCCTATGGAAATGTGGCTCCTAAGAAAGTGGCAGCCAAATCGGTCCCCTATTCCATCCCTGTGCTCAAACACATGCACACTTATATGTGCTTACAGTCATACATGTACACACACTCATATACACACCCACCCACACTGAATAAGCAAGACTCCTCCATAGGATCCCCCTTCTCCTCACCTCTTGTCTACTGTAGGTTTCTCAGCATCTCAGCCTGACTCCAAGGAATTGTTCTTCCTCTGGCTTCCCCTTCTCCCAATCCACTGCACTCTAGCACAGGACCCTCAGAAAACTATCAAGCATCCCTGACCGAGTTTCCCAGTGACCCATCTCCAGTTCAGTTGACTCAGCTGAATCTCAGTCTTAATCTTGCTCCTCTAATCTCCACAAAACTTCTATGTCCCACCCCAGCCCCACCCCGGCTCCCACTGGAAAATCTAAACCCCTTGGCCTGGCTTAGTAAGTCCCTATGCCCTTGTTTCCAAGCTGACCAGCCCTCTCCTGGGGTACTGGCACTCACCAGCCTCAGAGACCACCCACTTCCTTGAGACCACCTTAATGGCTGCTCTGTCCTTATCTTCTCCATCACTGAAGTCATCTCATTTCCATATCCTTTTGGATACCACCCTGACTTCCTCTAGGAATCCTTGCCTTGCCTTGTATCCTTCACAGCTGGTTGCCTGTCCTCTTCTTCTGACCCCCCCTCCCCCACAGCACTCTGCAACCAAGTGCTAGTTCCTGAGTTACTGGTCTCCCTGCCTTTCCAGACCTTGCAGGCTGAGGGGTCCTGGAGGGTGAACTCTGTCCCTATACTACACCTAGCTCCCAGGCAAGAGCAGCCAATGCTGCAGACACTCCATGGGACCAATGGACTGTGTCCTCTGCCCTGCTCAGCACACCAGCCTGGGTCTGTGCTCCCTCTATAAGGAACGCTTGCACCTCCCAATTCCGAGAAATGTGTCCTCTGCATGACCAGACATGCCCCATGCATCCCAAAGGAGCCTGCAGCATCAAGTCGTACTTTGACACCCTCTTTACCATATCCTCCACAAACTTGTGAACGTGTGGCCAGGCGCGTGACATGCGTTCAGACCTGAAGACAAAGGAGATATCCCTCGGTGGATACAGGGTTCCAGTGGACCAGGCCACTTCCTCCCTCCCCAGCCCTCCACTGGCTTCCTTAACAGAGGCCTCTGCACCAATAGTGCCCACCACACTAGAACAGCCTGAGAGGTAACTTTCTCCAGGGCCAGCAATGGGCAGAGGGTAGCTAAAGAGCCCCATCTGGTGGAACTGAAAGGACCCCATGGTAGAGGCTCATTGGTGTGGCTGAGCACAGCAAGGTAGGGACTGTGTGGTCTTGGAATAGGGAAGGGTCTCTTTTTGGAAAAGCCCCCGAGTGCTTATAGGTAGCCTCTCTGGGCTCCCCACTTGCCCTTGATTTTCTGTTTCCAGGCCCCTTTCATCACTTAACACCACTTGGTTGTCAGAGTCCTTGGATATCGTAATCCAGGCCCAGAGGCTGACTCAGGCCTGGGCCGTATTGTCTTTGCTGTGCTCTTGAGTTCTTGAACATCAGATTTGTCAGAACATCTGTGGATCCTTTTTCATACCTGTGTGCCACCTGCACTCTTTTCTCATAGCATTCCCCTTTCCAAATTCCCCCACATTTCCCAACATCCACAAAAGAGGCATTTTTCTCTGGGAGATGGGCCTTAGCTATGGTGGGGATGCATGTCTGTTTTGGAACCTAACCTTCAACCAGTCTACACCATCCAGCCACCCTGGCCTAAGAAGGGCTCCTCCAGCAGACACTGCTTGGAGAAGGCAGATGGAGGCCCAGTCACTGCTGACATGACATCCTAGTTCCCAACCCTCGCAAGTGCTGTGGGAATCTTCCCGTTCTGACTCTCAAATCCCCGCTCCCAGTTTTTCTCCCTCTCAGTCCCCAGATGGAAAGCAAGCAGATGAAGTAAGTGGGCTTTGTGACCTTCCATCTAGTAGGATTCACCTCTGACCCACACCCCCCAAACAAAGGACTCTGTAATCCACAGCTTTGCTGGTCTTCACATCAAGGAAGAGACAAAAGTCCGTTTTGAAGGTATGGGGTAGATGGAGGAGAGTTCAGTGGTTATCTCTTCCTTCTGAAATCTGAATAATAGTTTGGAGTGAATCTGAGGCTGGTATAGCCTCTGGGTTTTGTTGGCTCATGTGTTTTGAATGCTGTGAGTCAGAAGCTCCTGCTGACAGAAGCATCTCACCTTCAGTGATGCTTTTGCCCATGAACGTGACCTCCCTGAAGGCTATGTTCATATGTGTAATTGTCACTGACTTAGTCACTTTTCTTTTCGCTCTAACAAAACATCTGACAAAAGCCACTTAAGGCAAGAAAAGCTTATTTGGGCTTGCAGCTTGACAGCACAGTAGACAAGTCATTGAAGCAGGAACTTGAGGCAGTTAGACCTACCACATCTGTAGTCCAAGAGCAAAGAGAGCCTGGTGGTCCACACCTTTAATCCCAGCACTCAGGAGGCAGAGATGGGCAGATCTTTGTGAGTTTGAGGCCAGCCTGGGCTACAGAGTGAGTTCCAGGACAGCCAGGGCTGTACAGAGAAATTGTCGCAAAAGAAACAAAAGAAGGAGGAGGAGGAGGAGAAAGAAGGAAGAAGGAAGAAGGAAGAAGAAGAAGAAGAAGAAGAAGAAGAAGAAGAAGAAGAAGAAGAAGAAGAAGAAGAAGAAGAAGAAGAAGAAGAAAGTTCAGCCTGAGACTCCAGCCCATGGAACCATGTTGCCCACATTTACCATGGGTCTTCCCACTTCAGGTAGCCCAAAACAGAAACTCTGTCATATACATGTCCAGAAATGTGTCTCCTCAGCAACCCCAGATCCTGTCAAGTTGATAATGTTAACCACCACATGTCCACCCACTGTCAACTTGACACCAAAACCAACAAAAGTCCCTTTCCTTGTCATCTCCTGGCTATCTCAGAAGACAAAATGTACTCAGTCTACCTTCAGAAGTCCCTGAAGTCTTTTAACAGTCCCAACACTGCTCAAAAATACAGGTGCATAATCTTTTCAGAGTCTCAAGCAGTGAGTTCCAATAACATGCAAGAGCAAATCACGTGTTTCTAACATACACTAGCACAGAGTAAAGATCTTCTACTCCAAAAAAGAGGAATGGAGACATAGCAAGGAAAGATCAGTCTAAAGCAAAGCTAAAACCAAGCCGGGCAAACATCGTGTCCAGCATCTGGGGTCTTGATATCATATCTCTTGGGCAGCCCTGACCCACTAGCTCTGCTACCTTCAACACACATGGCTTCTCTTCCAGGTCTAATCCATGCCTGCAGCTCTTCTCAGCAGATGTCCCTTGGGTCTTTATTGAAACTTAGATTCCACCTCCTCAGCTTCACCTACTCTGAACTCAATGCCCTCCTAGAACTACAGCATCGTGGCCCATGACCGCCGAAATCTCGCATCTTTTGTGCCTACAAACCTGTTCTACATGGATGATGCTGCCATGTTATGTTGCTAGCTTGTGATAAAGCCTTGCTGCTCTAGACCACAGTTCCATCTGTCTGTGTGCTGATCCCAGAGAAACACTTTACTAGGGGTTGTTTTCCAGCAAGGAACTACTGCAGTGGGATTCTCAGTATAGACTTCCCGCTTCTGATGAATTTGTATGCATCAGAAGACAGTCTTTGCTGGGAAGCATTTTGTCCCTGGGACACTTTTCCTATTGTTGCAGTACAGAGAAGGTTTTTTTTTTTTTTTAAAGATGCTAGTCTTTAAAAATTCCAACTGCTTTCACAGCACCCACTTTGTCTGTGACTTAGATGTTCTCCTTTCCCCACAGGCTACATTTTATACACATGCATATACATATGCATATACATATGCATATACATATACATATACATATACATATACATATACATATACATATACATATACATATATAGCTGGCTTGTTTGTTTTTCTGTCTCTCTCTGGAGACCTAGATATGAGCAGTGAGCAATAACCATGACACAGCCCACATGCTAACCTGTCTTGAAATTTCTTCCAACAAACAAATTAGTCCTTTACTAAAACAAAACAAAACAGAGTCTCATGCATCCTAGACTCTCCTCAAACTTGTTATGTAGAATGACCTCAAACTCTTAATCTTCTTGCCTCTGTTTCCTAATATTAACTATCATAGTTCCACACCAAAGAGCAGCCTCCCGCTTTACACTCTCCTGCTGCCTCTGCCCAGCTGAACTCTGAGTAGAGATGATGGGCAAACTCACCGTTAGATGAGCCTAACACTGGCAAGACTACCATTCTTACAGCACCCATGCACCTACAGATACATCCCATGATATCAGCTAATCTCCACAACAGAGGAAAAACAAAGCTCTGAAAGGTAGAGCCAGTTTCTACAGTATTCCAACCAGCTACAGGCGAATCTAGAACTCTCTCTAAAATCCCACACACTGCTCATTGCTTCTGGTATACCTCGTCCCAGTTGTGAATAACTAAGCTTTGACTCTAAAAACTAAACACAATGCAGACTTTGCTCTGGTAAGCTCCCAGACTAATGTGCAAGATGGGTCCTTTTCCCTAACAGGAGGTGACATGGCTTCCTGGTTATGGCCCTTTGTGATGAGTATCTTCCCACAAAGGCTCACAAGGACCCAGAATATCTGCCCTGCTCACAAACTCTGGAAGTTTCAATTTGAAATTATAGTTTGAGTTTTTTTTAATTATAGTTTAGTTTAAGTTAGATTGTAGTTTAAATGATAATTAAGTTTTCAATTTGAGATTATATTGAAAGAGGATCTGGATTCCAGAACTCAAGACAAATTGAAGTTTCAAGGACAATAGGAAGAAAGACCGTATGACATGCAGGGGCCTAGAACTTCCAGAACATTCACCCATTTGTGTATGAATGCTGATCCTTAAATGAAACAGTGATCACCTGGCGTCTGAGGGTGTCGTCGTGCTAAAATCTGAGACCTGAACATCATAGTCCTATAAACAAGATGGAGGGAAAGGAGATGACAGAATCTTCCATGAAAACCAAGCTATGAAAAAGCCAAATGCACTTTAGTTATCAGTCGATGGTGGATTTACAAACCTCAAACAGAAACGGAAGGTACTCAGCACAATCCTGTTAGTACAAACAAGGCCATAATACCAAGAGGAAAAACCTAGACTTGCCCATAACTGCTCGAGGGAGTGGATCAGAAGCGGGGAATTTGACAGGGGCCTTGAGTTGTGATACTCCTCCTTTGGTGTGGGGCATTAAATTTACCCTCCTTCACTTGGAAACCAGCCGGTATGCAGGTGAACACGGCACATCAACAGGCTGCATAATTAATGATATTTCACACACCCCATCTGTGCCCAGAGCCCTTTCCATCCACCATAGAGAAGGGTCCATTCCCTTTTATACCCCACACTGGGGCCCTAGGGAAGTAGGTGGGACAAATACAACAGGATGGCAGCTGAGAGGACCCCTCTACAGAAGGACTGGCCCAGACAGGCTGTCAACCCACAGCCCCATAGGGCACATCCTCATCTGGCCCTGACGCCCAAGGGAAAATACCAGCCTCGGCAGTGCTAGCTATCAAAGGGACGAGCTGTACCCATTGTTTTCAGGGTCCCTGGGCTGTAGAGAGAAAAAGGCCTCTTTTTTGAGTGGCTAGGGAGGCTCCATAAGTGGCTGGCCTAGCTTAGAAACAAGGGGCTTAGACCCATGTCCTCTTGCCCACCAGCGTTCAAGGAGAATAAGAGAAATGAGAAGATCCAAGCCAGAAATGATGGGCAGAGCCCAGTCTTGTCACCAGAGCCCAGGAACCCTGGTCTTGCCACCACCAAACGACTTGGTCACCTTGCCAACCCAAGAGTGCACTCCAAAATAGAAGTCCCAATCTCCTCTGCAGCCCAGGATGTTTGAAGATGCAAGCATTCAAGAGAGTCCAGACAGGGCTTTCCCACCCCTGCTCTGGTTGAATGGGCAGCAAGTCCAGCCCTAGCCTACCAGGAAGTTCAGAGAACACAGGCTAGCTCTCCCAGCCCAGCCCCGCAACCCCTTCCTTCCCCTGACAGCCAAGAGGAGCCTAAGGACTAGCCCAGCCTACCCAGAGCCACACTGTGGCAAATAGCACAAGGGTTATCTCTGGCTCTTTGTGTAGGAGAAAGCTGACTGCTTAGGATAGCTAAGCCAAGGCCACTTGGTGGCAGCAACTATCCCTGCAGAGCCCCTGAGTGAGCTGCCCATGTGGCTGAGAAGTCAGCTCCTAACAGCCAGTGGGCTGGAGGACAGTGAAAACCCAGATGGGGTAGGATGCTAAGGACAGAGCCACCAGGAAGTACTGTGGGGGCCTCCCTATCTTCAGGAAATAAGTCAGTTACAGAAGCTGGGTTGTGACCACCATGATGAGAGGCTGGGCCTTCAGGGTCCCCTGTAAGGAAAAGCCACTCACTTTTCCAGGACAAAGTAGATGTCAGGGGTGGCCTGGCATGGTTGCGGCTTCGAATTCTTTCGACGCCACATGTACTTTAGGCTCTGGGCTGTGGGGTGGCGGAAATTTCTTGAGCCCAAGTCCAGTCCAGGGTAGTTTTCCCAATCATGGTACTGGTACAGGAAGTTCCCTGTGCTGAGCAGTGATGGAAGTAACATCAGCAGGAAGAGCACAGAGTGAGGTACTGGAGGGCATCCCAATGTTTTCATGGTGATCTTTGTAAGGTCCCAGATAGGCAGATGACAGACTACCTCTGACTTCCTTCTCTGCTGCCTCTGCCCGTACTTAGGGACAGTAGCCCTTATGTCCTCTCACTAATGTTCACTGCTGTTCTCCACGTGGTGGCCTCAGACCATAGGGACCGGGGACATAGCTGCTCTGGGGGTATTCTGCCTCTCACTGCCTGCATAGCCCTTCCCCCAATACTCTAGGGTTATGATGGACAGGAAGGTTGACATGGTGACTTTGTGACCTGCCCTCTGCTCTATGTCCTGCATGCTGACAGTACCAAGTGACAGTCACAGGACCTTTGGTGTCAGATAAAGCCTCCTTGTCCTTCACCTAGCCAAGAAATCCAGACATTTTGTTAACTGAGACAGAGTTTCCAAGTGGACAAGATCATGGGTCATCATTAGTGAGGAAGTCCAGGTGGGAAATGGAAAGCTGTTTGTGGGTCTCTAAGTCAGCCAGGTGCTGGTGATATACTCCTGCCACAATCTTTGGTGAACAGGGCAGTCCACAGCCGTGTGACAAGCTGCCCAACCGTGGGAACTTAACAACCATTTTACTATATTTGCAGGGCAGGACCCTTGGGAAGGATAGAGTATATTTCAGATGAGGCTCCTTGGGAAGACTTGAGAGGCAGGCCTCAGAAATGCCTGGAAGCTTCTTCAGTGGCACCTGGGCTAAAATCATCTCCTGCTTGAACCCTGCTGCATGAGAACATTTGTGAGTCAAGAGAATAATGTGCTGATGAAATTTCATGATTTCTAAACTACCAAATATTCAAGATATTCTATCATTTCAAGTAATTCCTGGAACAAAACAAACAAAAGCCCACCAATCCAATGCAGTGTGCTGCAAGGCATTTGTACATTATATGAATTAAAAGATCTATTTTAAATTTATTAAGAATAATTTTATCAGATTTGATTTTGTGCATATAAAGAAAAAATTGATCAGAGTATTTCTAAGCTTGTTTGCCCTCGGTTGGAAGGCTCTGAACCCTTTTTTAAGTGCGTGTGTCTCCCCTTAACACATCTTTTCTGCCACTGCAAATGCTGTGATGCAGTGGGGTAGTCGTGGGCCAAGCCCCCCACAATTCTCTGGGAGCTGGGGGCTGTGTCCTTGTTTCTGAACCTCTGATGCAGGAGCTCTGACTTGCAGATATGGGTGATGTCATAAAGGGCTCCACATTTTGACCTTGCTCCCTGTAGATACTCTCGAAGCTCTGAGCCTCCATCAGGAAAGTCTACTCCTCTTGGCGCTACCACACTGTGAGGAGGCCCAAGTCATTGATATCTATAGATACAAGGGTTCTGTGAACAGTCGCAGATGTGCCTTTGGAGTCCTCTCGACCAGGTACCACAGGCAGCAGTGAAGAAGCTTCCAGACACTTTCAGTCTCCACCACACAAGTCCTGGCTCAGGTGCTGAAGTCTTCCCAGGAGCCCTGTCACAAGTACCCTCTCACCCCACACTCCCCAAGGGTCTGACCCATGGAATTTGTGAGCACAATGCAATGGTTCTGTGTGAAGTCACCAAGATCGGGCAGCTTGTCACATGACAGTGGATGGCTGGACTACTTCCATTCACAGAGAATGCTAGCAGCAACAACATGATCTCCATCCCTTTCTGGATCCTGCTATTGCCTGGCTTACTTGAGGACACACAATTGGCCTCACACTTTCCACACACAGGCTTCCTGGCCCTTTAGCCTCCTCCTCGTCAGTGACCTGGTAACCTCACTCTCTCTGCTACCTTCTTAGTGAAGAAAATGCCTGGGCTCCTTGAGGTGGCCCCTAAGGACCTCTGTGAGGAGCTGTGATGAGGGACAAGGAGGCCTCATCTGAAACCTCTGCAAAGGTCCTGTGACTGTCTCTTGGCACTGTCTACATGAAGGCACTGAGCAAAGGGGCAGGTCACAAAGTCACCATGTCAACCTCCCTGTCCATCACAACCCCAGGGTTGGGGGAAGGGTTGTACAGGCAGTGAGAGGCAGGATGCCCCAGAGCAGCTATGACCCTGGTCCCTATGCTCTGAGGCCACCAAGTGGAGAGCAGCAGTGAGCATTAGTGAGAGGACACAAGGGCTATTGTCCCTAAGTGCAGGCAGAGCCAGCACAGAAAGAAGTCAGAGGTGGCTAGAACTCAGCCTGCATAGACTTTGGCACAGAGCCCCCATTTCTAGGAGACTCACGGCCAAGAAAATGCAAGACTGTAGTCCCCAGGTGTCCCTCTCGGTGCACCTGCTGCTGTTGCTACTGTCGCCTACGCCACCTGCTGCAGCCCAGAGTTTCCTGTACTCTCAGTCTGACCAAAAACCCTACGATGAGGACCCTGCTAGGTTCCATACAGATGAAGAATGGAAGCCCAGACAGACTGAGGAGGAAGTGGAGGACGATGAGGAAGATGTTATGCAGTATTGTGATGGCGACTTTGATGTTTACTTCGTCTTTGACAAGTGAGTAGCCCTTGCTGCCCTGCCTAGATGGTCTCCATGTACATCTATCCCCTGGCAGAACCAGGCCTGCAGTATGATAGCTTCTGCCAGGAGAGAAGCAGGAGAAGTCTGTGAGTGAGACCAGAGAGTTAGCCGGGCGGTGGTGGCACGTGCCTTTAATCCCAGCACTCAGGAAGCAGAGGCAGGCAGATCTCTATGAGTTCAAGGCCAGCCTGGCCTACAGAGCTAGTTCCAGGACAGTCAGGGATGTCACACAGAGAAACTCTGTCTCAAAAAGAAAACCAAAGACCGAAGAATTGGATCTCTCTGATTTCCTTTATGCCTGGAGAGGGAAAACAATTTTGTCCAGCTTTTCATTCATCATTTTCTTTGGTTTCTTTGTTAAATTTGAAGAAAATGAGTGTGCACTGCTTTCTAGGTCAAGTAGCTTTTGAAGACCAGGGGAGGGAGCCACCTGGACAAAGAGTCTGGGGTTCAAACTTCTAATGATTGCAGTCGGATCACAGTATAAGGAGAAGGTGTGAGGAAGGAAGATGAGGAGGACGGGCAGATCTAAGTGGGTGTCGCTAAGGAAAAGGTTTTTATCCAAGGAGGGTGGCTCCAACAGGTGTTTCCTAAGGAGCACTTTGTCTGCCTGGAAGGGTGAAGGATGGGTCTGGGGCTGCAGTGGAGTGGCTGGGAGGATGCAGATTGCAAGTCCTGTGGTGGCTGGGTGTAACCTAAGGAGCAGGGAGATAGAAACCAGGGCAACTCCCACAAGCCTGAAGTGGACAGAGAAGAAAAGTCGGTGGACAGGGGTGAGGTGGAACTGATGGCTGCCTGCTTGAAGAACCAGGTTCAGAGCAGGGCAGCTCCGGTACACTGAGGAGAAGTGGTGCTCACTGCTGCCGTGCCAGTTGGGTTTGGTCAACGTGTCACAAAATAAAGTCATTTGGGAAAAGGGGGACTTTAACTGAGAAGAAGCCTCCATCAGATGGCCTGTGGGTGAGCCTGTGATGCGTTTTCTTGATTAATGATTGATGTGGGAGGGTCCAACCCACTATGGGAAGTGCCACATCTAGACAGGTGGTCCTGGATTGTATAAGAAAACAGACTGAGCAAGCCATGGGGAGCAAGCCAGCAAGCAGTATTCCCCATGGTCTCTAACTCAGTGTCTGCCTTGAGGTTCCTGTTGAGTTCCTCTCCTGACTTCCCTTCATGATGGACTGTAAGCTCCAAAATGGAATAAACCCATTCTTCTCCCAAGAGCTTGTGGGTATGGTATTTGCCACAGCAATGGAAAGCCAGCTAAGACTCCGTAGCCGGGACCTGCCTTCTGGGGCGCCACTTTCCCTGCCTCCTTTGGGTAGGGTGAGCTGCTGGATAAAGCACATGGGAGTCACTGAGCTCCAGAATCAGAGGCTCCAGCTTCCTTCCTTCCCTTCGCCTGGGCACCAGCGAGTCTAAGTGAGAAGAGGCTGAATCTGCTTTAGACCGTCTAAAAAGGAAGAGAAAAGGCTAAGGTGGGGTGGGTGGGGGCCAGGCACGAGGCTTCCCTAGGTCTGTGTTCCCTGTCCTCTACCATCTGCCTCAACAGTGCAGATGGATCCCCCAAGCCCAACCCCTGTGTAGCCCATAGTTCTCACCCAGGCTTCTCTCTGTCAAGACTTTGCGTCTGTGGCAGCCATGCACAAGAGACAAGGTGCTGTCCTGGCTCTGTGAGGGACTTCGAGCCTTTGCTCTTAGGACTCAGTTGTGTGGAGGCACGGCTTCTGAGTTGTGTGGAGGCAGAGGCTCCCTGATCCTCTGCCTGACGCCTCCTCCTCTGGCCTGGCTTTCCTCTGCCTGCTGTTTCCCTCTGCAGCCAGCATCCTTTGGGCAAGTTCCTCCTGGTGAAGGGGCTTCAGCGTCTGAGAGTGCCAGCCCTCCCCTTGTTGACTTCCGGGACAGATGGTTGGGCAGCAGCTTGAGAAAAGACCACCGCTTCCTGTGGAAAAAGAGGAAGGGTCTTCCTTTGGTTCCTCTCAGGGCACCTGTCAGCTCCCTCCAGGTGCCTTTAGCCTTCGAAGCACCCTTCATACTTTCCTTGGAAGCTTCATAGCTGGCTGGGGGAGATGCAACCTTGACCTTTCTTGTCACATAACCCCCAGGTCTGTCACCCCTGAGCCTGACTTCCCTGTGTGAGAAGAGCTGTCCTTTATTCCACATTTTTAGTCGACTAGGGTATCGCCAGGGTAACAGGACTGACTGTCCCCAACATCCTGCAAGGAAGCTCCCACCCCCACACTTCGTCTAGAGGATACGTCTATGTGCAGGCACGCACCGGGCCGTAGGGAGGGCAGAGCCAGTGCAGGCAGGCTTCTCCTGGTGAACTGGGACACAAGTCAGTGGGAAAGATGCCTACCACAGGGGTGAAACCTGTGCCAGAAAATGAGTGGAAATAGAGAGAGAGTTGAGGGGGCTCGTACACAGGAATGATGGCCTCAACTGACG